AACAAGCTATTTTGAATCAAGGTAACCATATCAACCACTTCCATGTCATCGCCTCATCGGTTTCTCAGGTTGGTTTGAACATAGCACACAGTGCCACTAATCCTATCTAAAACAGATACTCTTTTTCATGCTATTTTGAATCAAGTGATTAGCGGATATTACAAACGAATAATTGAGCATCTAAACACCTGGTCCCAGATTAAAGTCCAAAGGATAAGCTGCAGCGTTTAATAAAGAAACCAAGAAGCTCTGGTTCTTTCATTTTATATTTCAAAATCATGACATCATCCATACAATGAACACACACGGTCACAGAATATATTGAGAAGCTACAAACTTACAATAACAAGCAAAATTGATAACGTTATATTGAAAATTAAAAAAAAAAAAGACTCCTACATACCTTCTTAGGATTAAGCAAGTAGTCATACAATGTGTTCTCTCCCCAATTCACAGCCATATTTTTGTTAGCAGCGGAATAAGAGTACCCTGGAGTTGTGCCGGACTGCCTCCCAAAAAGCCCATTCAGATTTGGCCCTGCAAATTTAACAAATCTCAACATATTTTTCACTGAACTACAAAAAAGTAGTAAAAATGAAAAGAGATCCGCATCAACATAGAAATCAGTGTGAATCACCTTGTTTCAATGCAAACCTAAAAACTAGGAACTTAAGAGATTTATATTTTTCTTTCTAAATTCAAGAGCTCTTTTAAATCAAATCAAATAAAAAAAGAAACATGAATCAATTTTTTTATACGAAATAAAAAGTTTCTGAGAATGATAAACTGACCAAATAATTCTTACAAACAATTTAAAAGATATCAACACGAATTAAATTAGACAGAGTTGTATTACTCCTTACTAAAACCAAAAAATTAAGAACTTAGAAAAGAATAATTTTAATCAAAGAAGAACAAGATCAGATCTGAGAGAGGCAGAGAGGGATCGACCTTGCTTGTGACCAGCGCCTTTTTCCACGGTGTGACACTGGGCGCACTTGGTCTTGAAGATCTTCTCCCCAGCTTTCGCATTACCTGGCGGCGCTTGCTCGAATGAGGCCATTGCTTTTGACTTCGATTGAGGGGTTTTTTTTTTTCTTTACTAATCGAAGCTTTCTTGTTCTTCAAAGGTTTGGTATACAGAAGGATCAGCGGTTGAGCTTTTGTTAGGGCATTTGCGTATGGCATTAAAATAATGCAAGCATGTGATTCCAAGAATCACGCGCCGGCGCCACACGTTAAGACAAATCGACATTTGAATGGCAAAATGACCAAAACACCCAATCTTTGTCAGTCTAATTCATTATTATTAAGCTTAATACTCAATCTAGCCCCGAAACTATATCCATCTTCCCATTTTGATACTTTTTTTCATATTAATACTTATCCAATCATTTTATCTCAATTTTCCACAAAAAAAAGTTAATGGCATTTTAAAAAATCAATAAAACGTGATACATAAAATGAATACACATACATACATATATACATACATACATACATACATACATATATAGTGACATTATAATTAGGGATGATTATAGACCAATAGAGTTTTTGATTCACTTAGATTTGATACCTGTATAATATACTTTTATCTATTATTCGATCTAATCTAGAATTAGGAAAGTTCCACTCGATTTGAAGTTTGATTTTTTTTCAACGTAAAAACTTGCATCCGACCTAACTAACTCGATATTATATATAATTTTCATTTTTAGCAGATGAAACAAGGTCCTAATTGAAAAAATATTTATAAAGACTGATGTTATAGCAATTATTCATATATATATATATTATTGTTCTTGGGTTGGATTAGATATTTTTATTCTAAATTCAAACTCAATCTAACCCGAATTAAAATTTTTAAAAGAAAAAAAAGTAATCTTATAGGATCATATCAAAACCCGTCAAGTTCGAGTCAATTGCTCATCCCTATCCGTAATATTATAAAAAAACATAAAATACAATTTCATTGATTAATATTGAAAGTTTTTATATATTAACTCTCGAGTTTTTTTTGGGTAAATTGATCGTTTAAATGTTAAAAGTGCTCAAAATTTTATTTAAATACTAAATAAATATAATTCAGCTGCTAAACTGTAATATATATTTTCCTAATATTAACTTTTTATAAAGGAGTTAAAATTAATACTATAATATTGTTTTAATAGTACTTAAAATATCAATTATGGTGTGTACAATTAGAAATCAAGTATGAAACATTTTTCTAATAAATCTAATATAATATAAGATAATATTTGTTTTTTTATAATATAAATATAAAATAATATTTATTTAAAGATTATCCAACATGAACATTTGCCTGATTTTTTTTCTTTTGGCCTTTTCAAAGGGTTGAATTTGCCTGATGCCGAATATCGGTCTTCGAATCTTCTCGAAGCTGTTTGTTCTTGAACTTTCCAATCTTTCCCTTTTTCTCTATATAGAAAATTTATTATAAGTGCGACATATACAACTAACGAAATATATTATCGAAAATGATAATTTTTTTTTAATATTTCTGGTAAAGTAATACCAAAAATATTATTTTTTTATCAGAAATATTAATATTGAACGTTACCTAAAACATTATTTTTCTATCGAAAATGTTAATATTAGACGTTACATAAAATATTATTTTTTTACCGATTTTTAAATAGTGAAATTAACATTTTCGATAAAAAAATAATATTTTAAATAACGTTTTACCATAAATATTAAAAAATAATAACATTTTCGCTGTTTTTTTTTTTCCTTTAGCCATATGTTAAACTGCTAATAAAACATTATAAACCAACTTTTACACTTTAGCTAGTCCCCTCCATTCATTTGCTAGTCCCGCGGTTGACGTTGATGGTTGTATTTTTACACTTTTGGCTAATAAAACATTATAAACCAACTTTTAATCCTTAAATTTTATTCTTAAACTTTTAGTTTATATTAGTCTTTCAATTAAATTTTTTCTGTTATTTAAACGATATTCTATGGTTGATCACAAGTCACAATATTCAATTATCGCATAATAAAAAATAAAATTTAAAACTAATATAAATAAAAAAAATCAAGAACAAAGAAAAAATATTACTTTTATCACAATAAAAAAACATACAACAGTTCCCGAGCTGGCGTTGACCTGGTCAATATTCATCATATTCGAGACAAGCTATGTTAAACAAGTTGGCAGTGGCATGAAGGAAAGTTCACCACCAAGAAGCATAATCAGAAGAATATTCTTTAAGCATTACTGCAGCTCATAATTAACATTCCTCCACGACAACAGCAGTCCATGACGAATGTTTTTCAACACATTTGTAAATTTACCATACCAACTATCAACTCAAAATTACAACATAGCAAAAGAATTCGTAATTTTGAACCCAACGGATGCAGGTTAAAAATAATGTTACAAAAGGGGATTCGGGTTATAGATTGCATCCAGCAAAACCATCATATCTAAATTTAGAAGAAAAAGAAAACCTACTTGGTTTCTTCTTGCTTACTTAGCCACAAAATCGATGTTCTTTGCAACTGCTCAGTTTCTTTTTGCTGACTTTCTAGATGATACATGGCCACGGGAAGAAGTGGTGGTGCTGGTGGGATAGCATCTCAGCTAGGAGAGAAGCGGCAGAGTTGAACCAATGCCACAGGTGAGGTAGAAGCATCAAAACTCCTCTCGCTGCTAATTCCGGTACTTCCTTCGGGGTGGCTCTGATGAGGGATGAGAGAAACAGTGTCATTTTGAACATCAAGAAAAGCCCTCCGCCTAGCCTCCAAGTCATGAAGATTCCTCAGGGCTAGACAATCCTTAACCGGGTAGCAGACAAGTATGCAAATGCAGACCCCAGCACAAAATAGTTGGGCAAGAAAAGCTGAGAAGGTAAGAGCTTCAAACATAAATTGTTCTGGTTTAGATAAAACAGATAGTCCAAGTAAAACAACCCTTAATTGAAGTAAACTCAAAACCGAGAAAATTAATGTGTAAACTCTCTTCTGCAAACCCCTATTGATAATCAATTGCAAAATCCGCCTTCCAAGCCAGAACAAGTAGGTGGTCAAGATGATGGCAAAAAGCCCTAGAAGAATAGTATTCAATAAAGGGTAAGTGCAAAGAGCAATGTCATCAGAATTCTGCATCACTCGAACAACTACCCTTGTGAAATATGGCGATAATTCTCTTCTATCCTTGCGTAACTCTGGTGCAATCAAAATAAGAATAAGTTGAAGAACAAACACAGGGAGGCAGTAGAGAATAACATAGCTTGCTGTTTTCCCATTCCATTTTCTGCTCAGAATGCCAGTGTCTATGTTCTGTAAAGGAGCTCGAAGAAGAAAAACGAGAGTGAGGAACATGCAAGGTTCCGCAAAACCTAAATTTGACACAATGTAAAATTTGCAGATGTTTTCCTGCCATTTCAAATTGAGTGCATTCAACACTCTTCCTTGCCTTCTAAGAAAATTTAGCCGTATAATTTCACCAAAACCCCACCAGATGGTGAACAAAATGAACGTGATTCGGATGATGCAAGGCCCATTGAAATAACTAAGCTGAATGAATCCTTGTCTAAGAACGCGTGAACGCACATAAAGCAAGTATGCAATGCACACCAAACCAAGAAGAACCAACAGAGCAACTAGGCAAATTGTCAACACACCGAATGCTTCAGCAGAATATCTCTTCAGGGGCATTACCCGAAACACAGATTCCACGCATACTCTCAGCCAGCATGGATACAAAGGATCCTCTGATAGCACACAAACAACCTTATGAGAATTATATCTAGAAGCTATCAATGAATTAATACTGGAACTGTGTGCAAAGCTGATTAAGCTGGCATTATTGATTAACTCGTAACTTCTTGCCCGTCTACCATATTCATGTATTTAAAGTAAAAAACTGATTCAAAACTTACAAATGTCAAATTTAGACTGCTGTTTCAACCACTAACTTGAAGGATTAGCTCAAACTTTAATTATTTGTCCAGGAACCTGCAGAGTAAAGGGAACAAATCAACAACAAGCCAATAAGTTGCTTACTAATAAGCAATATCTGACCAAATGAATTATACCATAACAGATCATAGGCAGGTATTCAACAAAAGCATCCAGATATGTTTTAATCACAATGCCAAAAATAAGCAAAGATGGAAAAATAATAACGTCAGCGCTTCCCATATTGTCACTTGTGTCACAAGAATATTAGTCAAAACTGTCAACTAAATGAATTCTGAAACTAACACATCCATGTTCATTTATCAACGTCTCCCCTAACAGATAATCACCATTATACCTGGTTTATTATAGTTTAAAAATAATGAAATCGATGACCTAAAACCTCACTGTAAATCCAAACAATTCAACTAATTTTTAATTAATTTGATCTTAAACAAAATCAAAGGGGGAAGCTTTTCTTGCACTGCCATTGGAGAAATAAACACGATTTCTTCTAATTTTAAAATAATCAACAAACGTTGCAAAATCTATAAATTTATTTTCGTTAAATTTCCCTATCATTAACTACAAATTATTAAAATTACAAAAAAAACCTACAAACTCCAGCCAAACAACAACAACAGCAAAACCATATTCTCATATGCAATAGGGTAAAGGAGGTAGGTAGTATACTGCCCCAACGCCAGGATTGAGAGCTACTTCCGTGAAGACCTCCGGCGCAAAGAAAATTAAAAATAAAGATAAAATACATGTATAAATAAATAAATAACTAAATACATAATTGAAAAGTCTTCCTATATAGTTTTCAATATGCTCGTCTGTAATAGGGAGTAATCCCGAGTTTATGAAAGAGCATCTTGAATATATATATGAACGAAAATAATAATTGAGCATCCTAAAATTCATTGTCGTAGATAGTGCATGCAGTACAATCATTTTGCTAAAATGCCATCGAATTTCATTAAAAAATCATAAAAACCGATAATCGCAACAGTACCAAACAAGGGGGGAAGTCCAAAAAAAAAAGAATGGGGGAAAAGATAGACCGACGAAGAGCTTACAAAGAGAAGAATCTTGATCCGCCGAGGTCGGTAGACGAAACGGAGAATCGAATAAAAGGGATCGAGAAACCCTAAAACTGGTTCGCAAAGTAGAAATCAAGATTCCAGATAGAGAGAGAGAGGGGAGAAAAATTAAGGAAGAACGTAGTTTTGGGGAATAGGTGAGTGGGACTTCGTTGGGTGACAGCCTGTCTCCAGCTGTATCGTCCAAACCTCTTGCTTCGGAGTTCCCTCAATGGTTGTTTTCTCGCCGTTCTTACGTGGATTTTGCTTTGGCGGTGTCTACTGCCATTACGGATTGCTTCTATTTTTCTTATAAACAACAATTTGTTTTTCTTTTTTTCTTCCTATAAAAATTGGCTTTTCTGTTCTAATTTATATAAGTAGTTAGTAATAAACGAGCCACATATAATGGACGGCGGGAATCTACTTTAAAAGGAAATAAATCTGTATCTAAAATAATATTACGTCTACATATATTTTATGTCACTGTGATCAATAATTCTTCGCCTATACTAGAAAATATGAATTATTGATGACCATTGTGAATCATCATCTCTATACATATACGCCTCAAACAATACATTATTTGAGTAACCACTATCATGTTATTACTTCTTAAAGAATAATACGTGAAATTCTTTGATTGTTTGTAGCGATTATCTGTTCAAGCTTCTGCTCATCGGCGATTCCTCCGTCGGGAAATCCTGTTTGCTTCACAGATTCGCTGTAAATCTTAATATCCTGTAGCTTATTTATATATTTAAGTGTGCTTCTCGTGTGAAGGTCGAAATGAAGACACGACGGAATATATTTTGAGATATAATGATTAGAACTTTAAGCTGAGAGAAGATGGTAGTCCTCTTTTCATCTTCTTCACGGTATAATAGTAAGAGACTGGACCTGATTGATCTGTAGATTGTAAAATAAGTTCAATGTCTTATTTACCAAGGTGTTCCTCAAATGTGTTTGTTACTGCACGAGAACTTCTAGCCCCGCGAACCCATACATGCGAACATGAGACTTGTGCGAACCTTCATATATACAGATCGTGCCATGCAGTGACCAAGTGTCGATCACCGACTATCCGTGTGAACACACCCCGCGTATAACCATCAGCGACCATGTGTTGACACACATGATATCCTAGTCTAAACCATCACCCCCTAAGACGTCCAGTTAGTACTACCGACAAGATAACTTCTGATTGACACCTGTCCGGGACATTATAAATAATCATGCAATAGAGAGTAGCAGGACGGGCACACTTTCTCGTCACAAAACTTGACCAACACCACCTGAACTTACGGAATCACCATCGAAACCACCATTCTACTACCGGTCAACATTAGTAGTCTCTTTTCGAGATTCCTACGGAATTTTGGTTTTCATTTAGAAATTGTGAATTATTGATGGTTGAGATGGCTAATTGGTTGAAATATTGGAATGCGCAGTAAATTATGAGATAGTTTACCGCAGGGGTGATAATTGGATTAATTTGCACTTATGTTCTTCTATTATATATTTAACTATTTGCTACCGATTGATCATTGGTAAGATATTACTATCATCGCCTGCTATAATAGGTTTCGGAATTCGATGTATTATTCTGCCACATTGCTTGCTTATTATAGGGTCTGCTTACCTCAAAAGAAAAATCTTTTACTTTCCATGTCCTTAATTATGAAGTTTGCATATATGATTTTGTATAAAAAATATGTGCAGAATGGGTAACCAGCCAACTGCTAACAAGGCCACAACCGGAACGGTTCAAATGAAGGGACGGCCTATCGAAGAGAAGGGCAATTGCTGTGGCTAGTCAAACCATGTTATATTGTTATGGTTTAATTCCGTTTTAGATGGTAAACATGTTGCAAATCTTTCAAAAAAAACTAAAATGTTGCTTGATTGGAAGTCCTTGTCCTTGTTCATGTTTGTCCTCTATTTTTGTTATATAAAATTAAGGATGGAGACATCCGACCCAAATACGACGGGTTCCGACCCAATTCAATAAGGTTGGTTTTTTAAAATTCGGGTTTGGATCGGTTTGAATTTAGATTTAGGGTAAAAAAAATTAACCCGATTCGAGAAAACAATATAATTGACCTTTACATATTAAGGATAATTGCTATAATATTTTCTTTATATTTTTCAATTAGGTCTCTATTTTAACTAATATATATATATTGAGTCAAGTTAGCTGTGGGTTTTTATCTCAATAATCAGGTCGGGTGGAACCTTCCTAAACTCGAGTTGGGTTAGGTGACGAGTGGAGAAGTAGAATGTTTGGATCGAGTTCATGTCCATCCCTAATTGTTGGCAGTCTTATATGGCGCATAGCTAGTTCTTACAAAGTATGAAACAAGCTGGGACCAAGGCACCCATGCAATTGCATTCATGACCAACTTGCAACAGAATAAAATTAATAAAAGGAAAAACATGAATAGTCAAATATGCGTAAACAATACAAAATGAAATAGTAGTAATAATACGAAAAGGATCTGACAACAGAACCCTCAACTTCGGTAAAAAGAAACAAAAATTTAATACAAGAAAAGAAGAATGATAATGTGATGAACAAAGATGATGTTCAAGATGAGCAACAAGCCTTTTTAGAGTAGGCTTCCGGTGCTCCCACAACAAGGGCCTTTCCTTCTTTTATACTAGTAGGTGCTGGCTCATCTGAAGAGAGTGACTTCTTACTAATGATCCGGTATATTTCGGACAGAATGGTCTGGAAAGCTTTCTCGACATTCGTTGCGTCCAGAGCGGATGTCTCGATGAACGAAAGACCTTCTTTCTCTGCATAGGTTTGAGCATCCTCTGTAGAAACTGCTCGCAGATGCTTCAGATCAGTCTTGTTCCCAATCAACATGATCACAATATTCGGATCCGCATGGTCCCGGAGTTCCTTCAACCATCGGTTCACATTTTCGAATGTTGTCGGCTTAGTTACATCGTAGACCAGAAGAGCTCCAAGGGCGCCCCTATAGTAGGCACTGGTTATTGCTCTATACCGTTCCTGACCAGCAGTGTCCCATATTTGAGCTTTCACAGTCCTACCCTCAACCTGAAAAACAAGAACCAGGGCAGTGAGTGCATTTGTGACGGCTAACATGCAGTAGTAAAGGCAATCGAAGGACGTTAGACAAATTAGACTTTCTCCAACAAATGGACACTCCCTGTCTACTCTTTTTTCAAAGGATCTACTCCACAATTGCCACTAGATTCCCCGCAACTGATAAACCAAAAGACAAAAATCTAAACAAGATGTGTAAGTTCAGATACTACAAGACATTTAACAACTTAAAAGTCATAGTTCCTTTTCTACCCTTTTTCTTAGTTTTCCCATCAAAAAGTAAATTTAAATTCTTGACTAAATTGTCATTTTAATTATTTCACGTTACAAGTCTTATAATTTTTCCTTCCAAAAATTATGTGAAAAGTCATCGTGTGCCAATTTAATCGGGACGGAGGGAGTAATTTTTTCTCCTATCAAAGTGATCATAAAATATACATGATACTTTCTACATTTTAGCCAATACATTGTTCCACCACACACTTTTTAGTCTTGAAAAGATAGCCTTCGATCACAAACTTAAAAACTTCATGCAAGGATAATAAGATTAAATTACATACACTTAAAATGATTAAATTGGAAAACAGTAATCTACAACTTATACATGGTACAATGATTAATAGCGAAAATCAACTTAACCAACTTAATGGCTACCACACAAAAATTTCAGTTTCAAGAAGTACAAAGGCTAAAAAATCAAATTAGTGTACACGGAGTTGGACTGATAGAAGAATTTGACCTAACTAAAATACCAAGTTTCCATAGCTCCACTAAAGAATTGAATGGAATTGGTCAAACGACAGAGCGAAATAGTCCAACTTGAAACAGCGGCAAAACTAGCAATTGTTGTGAAAATTAAATATTACATGTTTGTTCAAATTTCTAATAGATTTAATACAATCCAAGCAAAGCACAGTGAGTATCCAACCTAGATCATCAAAACAGAACAATGGAATCTAATCTGTCCAAGTTTTCAGTTAACTTTGACAAATGGCCAATGCAGATATCCCATAATAAATTCGATAAAAAAATATTAAAAGTAGATTAGACGACGAGCTAGTCAGATCTACTACATGCTTAGAACGGGGAAATTCTCGATCTAAAACCAAACATCTAACAGAACAAAATCGCACTTGCACTAAACAAATACTTCAAAAGAAAGCATGAAAAAGGAAGATTTACTTGGAGAGTGCGGGTGGCGAATTCGACTCCGATGGTAGATTTAGATTCTAAGCAAAACTCGTTCCGAGTAAATCTTGAAAGCAAGTTAGATTTACCTACACCAGAATCGCCGATCAATACGACCTTAAACAAGTAATCGTATTCGTCGTCGGGTCTCCTCGCCATTATTTTCAGTTTGTTTTTAGACGTTGAGAGTAGAGAGGGAAATAGAAAGGATCAGAAAAATGTCCCTTTTCTTTCCTTTTGAGAAAAACAAATGACAAATTTTCAAATGAATCCCAAAGCCTTCTCATTTACGTCTTCTGGATTTATGCCACTGATTTTGCTTGGCGCCTTCTCCGATATGACTGAATTGCCCTCTAAAAATCCCTTGATTAACAATTTGGTACTTAAATTGCTCTTTTATTTTCCTTTTGGTACTTGGAACGTTTTTGGGTTAGAAATGTTATTTTCTGGAATTGTTCAAAACGTGACTTTTGTTAAAATAATTAAGAGTTAATTGCATTATATATCTTAACATTATGATCTCATTTTAAATTAGTTTCAGAAATTAAAAAATTTAATTTTATTCCTAAACTATAATTTTTGTTTTAAATTAATTTTTAAACTTCTGAATATTTCACATTCACCCTCAAACTATGATCATTATTTCATATCCAGTCCCCCATTTTTTTATGTATTATGTTGATAAATCAGGCTAAGTAACACAGGAAATAAACAAGCAGTAAAGCAAATAAAGAACACAAGATTTAACGAGGTTCGACAATGTGCCTACGTCCTCAGGAGTAATGAGCGATTGTTTTCTCATTATTCACAATAATAATAATAACAGTTAGGTTACAATTACAGAATATAAAAGCAATATGTCCTCCATCTGTTATATGAGCCACACCTAACATATTAATTTTATCTCCAAGCTTTTGAATGCTTTTGGAGGACACTATTAAAATATTTAAAAGTTTGGAGACTAATATAAAATGAGAATAACAGTTTGGAGATGAATTTGGAACATCCAAAAGTTTAAAACATATTTAAAATAAAAGTCATAGATAAAATAAAAATATTCAAACTCTAGGAGACCAATTTTAAATAATAACCATAGAAACAATCTATTAACCATTCATACTTTTGCTCATGAGTATAACTCTTCATAAACTGTGAATATTGATAGATCTAAGGGGTGTTTGGTTTAAGGATTGTGGGATTCTCATGGGATGGGAATCTCACATTCTCATGTTTGGTTGGTCGGGAATCTCATTCCCGGTAATGTTTTATTATTAATAATAGATTTTTTGGGTATATTAACGGAAATGCCATTACCTCTCTCTTCCCTTATGTATTGTAACATTAACGGCGTTTTGGATTAAAATGCCCTTAAATTTTTTTTTTCCAAAAATATTATTCTTCTATCATTGAATAATAAAAATTATACGAAGGTTAAATTACAAATTTATCCTTAAATTATTTTAGATTTACAAAAAAATCTATAATTAAAATTTTATATGAAGTTCAGGGGTTAAAAAAAATTACCCTTTCGTTAAACCTTTTTATATTTTTTATTTTGTAAAAAAAATTATATAAATATTATGAATTTAATTTTTTAAAGAAAATATATAAATATTTTACAATTTGTAATATTAAACAAATATATAATAAGGACAATTTAGTCAAATATACATTCCAATAATCTTTTATTCCTTTAACCAAACACGGTACTCTTACATTCCTGCTAAACCAACCAAACACAAGATACAACATTCTCATAATCCTATTCCCTGATAATCTTTTATTCTCACTGGTAATCTTACATTCCGTGAAACAAACGCACCCTAAATCTACTTAAGGTATAAATATTTTTTGTCTTATTTATACACCGGTGAAGAATCATATGAAATTTAATTGTCATTATATATTTGTAATAATTTTAGAAATCATATTTCGTATACTGATTGTTCTAAATTGACTCATATTTAAATGTTAAACGAAACGAACGTTCAACGAACTGGCGGCAGAAAATTCGTTTATGTTCGTTTATTTATTAAACGAACGAACATGAACAATATTTTGTGTTCGTTTAATTAAATGAACGAACATAAACAGAGGACTTGTTCGTTCATTTACGTTCGTGAACGTTTAATATTATGTTCGTTCATTTATGTTCGTTTATGTGTGTTCATTTATGTTTAGCTCAATCTCTATAAACTCATTTAAAATATTAAAGCCCAATAAATTTTAATCTGATACACATAAATATTTTAAAATTCAATTAATTTTAAATACAAATAAAAAAGGCTAAAAACAATTAAATAAAATATAATCCTAAAATTGTTAGGAAAAAATATATTTTCATTTATGTTCGTTTACGTTCATTTACGTTTATTTATTGTGTTCGTTTACGTTCGTTCATTTTTGTTCGTTTACGTTCGTTTATACATCCGTTCGTTTATGTTCGTTCATTTGTGTTTGTTTATCAAATGAATGAATGAATACGAACAAGCTACATTCTTTAACGAACGAACACGAACAAAAAAAATTTCGTTTGTTTATGTTCGTATTCGTTTATTTATTCGGTTAAAGTTAAATGATATTTGTTTGGTTCGTTTATAGGGCTATTACTAACTTATGACGTCAAAACAATATTTGTCTGATTTATCGTAGATGCATCGTAAAAATCATTTAATATTGTATTATAATATGTACTATATCGCCACTTCTTTATTTAACGTGTCAATTGATAAAAATTTATCTTAATTAATATTTTCTTGTAACTTTCAATAAGCTTATCAATTTTAAAATTATACATGATTTTTTCATAAATAAATTCACGAGTAAATTCTTCGTTCAAAAACACCTAGAAAGATTGCTTCTGCATTCATAATTATATGAATCAACTTGTGAAATATAGATATTAAAGCAATAATACTTGTTGAAAATTAGCATTATATTTTTTTAATTAATCACCAGTATTCCATCTATTGACTTATTAATCCAGATCGGGTACTGTAAAGGCGAGGACGACCCTCTCAACCCAGTTTGCTCCATTCATAAATGTCAGGATTCGAACCACTGATCTTGCTTAAGGGACCTATTACCTCATCCTACTAGACCAACCGGCTGTTGGTGAAACATTATTTTGTCTCTTCCTAACATCTAAGCAACGATTTAAATTTCCATCTTGAACTCGAAGGTAGTTCATTAATCAGCACATTAGTGAGAGAGAAAATGTTCAAGAAAAATAAATTTGGTTTAATTTGGAGTTTTTTGGTTTAAGCTTTTTTTTTTTTTAGATTATTCACTTCTGGTGTATGAAAATGAGGGAGAGAAAGACTCGATCGAAGGTTTGTTTAAGTGGGCGAACGATAAGTTGTTATTTTTGGTGTATTTGGAAAATTTATTTTTGATATGTGTTTCCTAATTGTCTGAAGTTTTTAAAAATATTTTGGAATATGAAATTGAGAAACTTTTCATATTATGAAATTATTATTTGTCATATCGAATGTGATTTTTTAGCCTCAATATGGTTCGAAACAAAAAAAAAAAGATTGAGTTGAAATTGATTTTGGATTTTAGTTCCAATTTAATTTTTAGGGTTTTTAGTCAATTCGACCATCGACAAAATTAACCGACTAAACATCACTACTAACTAGGGATGGCAACGGGTCGGGTTCGGGCCGAGTATTGGTCTCCCGTCCCCATTTAAAAAATTCATACTCGTCCCCGCTTAAAAAACCACGGAAATTTAAACGGATATCCCCATCAGGTAATCCGTGAAAACTGCAGGGAAACGAGTAACCCTATTTAGAATAAACAGTTATTTAAACGGGTATCGGGCCGGGTATATATATTTAAATTAAATATATAAATATTATATATATATATATATTAATTTAAATTAAATTTATTAATAGTATATATATATATATATAATAATTATTTTTAATATTTATCGGGCCGGGTAATCGGAGCGGAGATTACTAAACTCGTCCCCGTCCCCGTTTAACATAAACGGTTTTCCTCATCTCCGTCCCCGTTTAGCATAAATGGTTTTTCTCCGTCCCCGTTTAATTCGATTTTCGGTTTTTCCCATCGGATTCGAATTTTTTTGTCATCCCTACTACTGGATCAACTCTAAAATTTACCATGACCCGTGTACAAATCCGAATTTCAAACCCGTATAAAAAGGAGAGTAGTGGGCCAAAAAAGCAATACTACATATATGGATGTGGATCTTAACCGGAGCCTATCCAAAAATATTCACAACTCATCCGACCCTACAAAAACCCTACTTTCCCTTACATTTCTCTATTCCACTTGAACTCTCCTGCTGCGGCTTCCAGGTTATCCCGCGTCTCCATTATTCTCTCTCTCTTTTTTTTCACCTTTAATCAATAGAAGACGCCCATTTCTCTGAATGCTCGCACTGATACAATTTCATTTTGTGTTTGGTTTCATTTCCAGATCTGAAATCTTATCGTCTCTGTTTTCAATCAAGCCATTAGCCATGTCACTGGTAAGTTATTGTTTATGGAGAAGTGATTTCAAGTAGAATTCAGAGTGAGAAGCCTTAAATATCGTATTGGATTTATATTATCACTCTGTTAGTTCAGTTAGTTGATCGGCTTGCAAATATTAATAACAATAAGCAATGGATCTTTGCTTTGCTACTTTCGATTTTGATCATTTAACCAGTACTAAGAGAAAGATCGATGGCCAGAGTTTAAGTGTGTATCATAGATGGAGTTGCTGGTATTTATTTTTCAAGTAATTAATACAGTGAAATTGAAAGATCTTTATAATGATTTGTAGGAAAAACGTTATGTTTTAGTTGCTTTGGATTAGTAGCATATCCTATGTAAGGTTCGGTTGTGGTGTTTGATGTTGGAATTAACGTTTTAAGTCATCTGTTTGTTGGTTTTACATGCAGGTATTGCATGCAGGAAAAACAAATAAAAATGCCTTCAAGGCTCTCATTGCTGCCGAATATAGTGGTGTGTCTGTCAAATTGGTTGAGAACTTTGAGATGGGTGTCTCAAACAAAACTCCTGAGTTCCTCAAGATGAACCCAATTGGGAAGGTAACCATGCCTATCTAAAGGTTATATTTAGAGAAAATAGTTTTGTACCATCTATAACCATTCTCTCTTTTCGCTGAAAAAATCTTTTACTTGTCTAGGTTCCTGTGTTGGAAACACCCGATGGTCCTGTTTTTGAGAGCAATGCCATTGCTCGTTATGGTTAGAAGACATGCTGACTAAATACTGCTCAATTTCTTCTTTTAATGTTTGTTTCTTATCGGTATCTTTACTGTTCCATGCAGTTACTCGATCAAAGGCTGATAACCCTCTGTTCGGTTCTTCATTGATTGATTATGTGAGTTTTTTTCTCTCCATATCATGATCTTGTTTATTTTCTGGCATCAGTTAATTTCATGTGAAATCATTGTACTTAATGTTTGTTTCTACATTTGCTTGATTTTTCTCAGGGCCATATTGAGCAGTGGATAGATTTTGCATCCATGGAAATTGATGCTAATATTGGAAAATGGTTTTTTCCAAGAAAGGGCTTTGGCTTTTACCTTCCTCCGGTAATATATATTTACATTCAAGTTTAAATGAGAGAATAATGATGGGAAAATAGAATAGACTGGTTTATAGTTCATATTTTATACACTGTCATGAGCATTATATAAGTTGTAGGACAACTATATATTTTTTTGTTCTTAATATCTGGAAGTAAATGCTCATCTAATTGACATAACAACCAGGCTGGTTTTTTCCTTTGTTGTTTGTTTCTAAGAGGATGTGTTCTTTGCCCCTCCGTTCTTATATATTAATATGCACTAGAGTTTAAATTGTTATGTTTGTAAATTGTAATACAGTCACTCATGAGTGTTTTGCATATAGGCTGAGGAAGCTGCTATTGCTGCATTGAAGAGAGCCCTTGGTGCTTTAAACACTCACCTCGCCTCAAATACCTACCTGGTTGGACATTCAGTCACCCTTGCTGACATTATTATGACATGCAACCTGTATGTGGGTTTCACCCAGATCATGATTAAGAGTTTTACCTCAGAGTTCCCTCACGTCGAGAGGTACTTCTGGACCATGGTTAATCAACCAACTTTCAAGAAGATTCTTGGTCAAGTGAATCAGGCAACATCTGTTCCACCTGTTCCATCAAAGAAGCCTGCTGCGCAGCCAAAAGAAACTAAGCCAAAGAAGGATGAACCGAAGAAAGAAGCCAAAAAGGAGGCAGAGAAGCCAAAGGCAGAGGCCGCTGAAGAGGAAGAGGCACCGAAGCCCAAACCCAAAAATCCTCTTGATTTGCTGCCTCCCAGTAAGATGGTACTGGATGATTGGAAGAGGTTGTACTCTAACACAAAGACCAATTTCCGTGAAGTTGCAATCAAAGGTATCTGTCTCGTTTTCAAAATCTTTTTTCTCTGTCCGAGTCTTCTGATATTCATATTCCTTTGTTTATTACAGGATTCTGGGACATGTATGATCCCGAGGGCTACTCTCTCTGGTTCTGTGACTACAAGTACAATGAGGAAAATACAGTCTCATTTGTGACTATGAACAAAGTAGGAGGTTTCCTGCAGAGAATGGATTTGGCTCGCAAGTATGCGTTTGGGAAGATGTTGGTGATTGGTAAGGACCCTCCATTCAAGGTTAAGGGACTATGGCTCTTCCGTGGGCAAGAGATCCCGAAGTTTGTCATGGATGAGTGCTATGACATGGAACTCTACGAGTGGAAGAAGGCTGACATCTCAGATGAGGCCCAGAAAGAAAGGGTTAATCAGATGATCGAAGACGCCGAGCCTTTCGAGGGAGAGTCTCTCTTGGATGCCAAGTGCTTTAAGTGATGAATTTAACTCTACTATCAAGCTTTATTTATGTCAAGTTAAAATAATTTGTTTTTGGTTTGTGCACGTCGGCTTCTGGGGTAGAGTTTTGGTTTTGCTTGTTCACTGTTTCAGGATCAGATAGACGAACTGTTCTGATAGTTACCATATAAATTTTTCTGCCTCTCTCGTCTCAGTTTTCAGTTCTGATTCAGATGGTTCTGCTTTATTCTCCTTGGAAGTCTCGGTTGATACCCACCGTCTTGAATTCTGGAAAAATAACCTTTACTTTTACATTCAATCCAACTATTTGTTATCAATGTGGATTGCAATATTTGATTCTAATTCTAATTATATTATGATTATGATTATACATGTAAATTATACTTTCATATTCATCATAGTTCTGCCTAATTGTCTAATTTCTTCAAAAGCATTTTCCAATAAAATCTATCAGGACTTTTTAAACCCAATAATATTGATTATTTTTAAAAAAAATTCTAATTAGACAAAATTAGACTGTTGCAACCTAAGTGAGAGATGTTTATGATAGAATAACTATTTTATTATAGATCAGTAATCTTAATAAAGGTATATTTGGTTCGGTTTTTCAATAAAATAAGAATTAAATTATAGTGCGATTCTTCAAAAATAAACAGAAATTGAATGATATAAAAATCGAAAATTTTGGTTTGGTTCGGTTTTGTAATTTTTAATTGTTTATCATTTTTTTCAAATTCAACATTTAAAGAAAGTAAATATATTTTAAGAAAGAAAAGTAATTATATTTAGAAAACTATTATAATTGAGAAAGAGAAAGATGACTGAAATTTCAAGCAGATCGCTCCGTTTCCTACTGTTCTTCGCTTCCGTTTCTCTTCACTTCATTTCAGGTTTGCTTTCTAGATCAGCATACTCGATAATTTGTTGTGTTTTCTAAAGAAATCTTATGTTCTTTGAATTGTATTTTCAAATTGTTCTGCTCGGCATTCGAACCATTGGTTGCCTGGAATTCAAGTTTATTTTTTTTCTTCTAATTTATGCAGTTCATTTGTTCGCCGAGATCAGAAAATTTATGTGTCGGTGTTATGCAAATCCCACCTTGACTTTTGTTTGATTACTTAATGAAAACTCCTAAAATTTTCTGTCTTTACTATTATTTATTATTCTCTGTTTGGCTGCGGAGAAAATTTGCATGCAATGAACGTGAAAAATAAAGCATTATTTCCATGAAAACTTTGGAAATTATGATGATTGATTAAATGAAATTCACATGAAACGATGTTATCATGCATGGCTGACCTAGAGATGTTATCATCTGCTTAATTTGATTGGATACTACTGATTATGTTGCCCTAATGGACTTTAAACTTGAGATTGTTCTTATTGCTGCTTACCTAATTATTGAAAGTTTTTATCAATTTGTTTCCATTTTTCAGGTTTTTGTGTAGACTCTAGAGATTCAAAAAGCAGCTCAAAGACGAAATCTGATATGGCTAGTAATACTGGGGCCAAGGTAGTCCTCATATTGCTTGGGCTTGTTGCAGTTGGGTTGTTTTCCTTTTTCCTTTTCAAGTTGTGGCAAAAAAAGAAAGGAGACGAACAATATGCTCGACTTCTAAAGCTGTTTGAAGAAGATAATGAGCTCGAGCTTGGCCTGCGGGACTAGCTGCTCAGTGAGAACTGAGCTCATTCTATTTGAGGTGTGTACATAAATTTTCTGGTCCTCAATTACCAACATTCAAGGAGGAAGTAATTTTTCATCATCCACAATTGTATTCTAGTAGTTGGACACCACACAAAATGGTTGAATGTAGATCGAAAACATTGTAACCATTTTCATTGATCTAGGCTTTTCAGATTCACCATTTTGGGCACCCCTGTGAATTTCAAAGTTTGACTCTCAAGTGTATATCTTTATGCAGCTTGGAAAATTGGTTCCCCTTCATGTACCTATTCATGCAACACAGTGGTGACTGGCGACGGTGGGACTTAGTTCCATCGTTGCTGTGGAATGTCGACCTCCTCATCATGTGCTGTTTGGTGCTTGACAATCAGTTGATTCAAGTTGATTTTCTAAATAGATACATTATGCAATGATTTGTTGTTATCTGGTTTTGCATTTCGTCTTCGGTTTACGTTTATTCGTTTCAGCTGTCGATTCTTGATACAGAGTTTGCTGCTCTTGATTTGCAGGCTGAAATGCCATCAGTGGGTTGTGCTGTTTAGAGAACTCAACTTTTGTGATGGTCAAGGCCAGGAGTTCAGGCATATCCTGTGGTGAGATCAGATACATTTTCAACATTAAGCTGTACTATTTGTAATGATATGTTCAAATGATTTTTGTGTTGGTTAACTTTGCCAAAACTATCTAAATCTTTTTCGGACATGTTTCTCTCTCATGTCTCCTCATATAGTAGCGTGTAGTGATTTATATGTTCAGTAAAACGTATTATCCTTCTGCTTAGCTGGAACTGTAAATATAAATACAGAGGTTTGTCTTTGCCTAGATTATAGTCATTACACTGTGGATCTGTTCACCATATATGTCTAGTTTAAGACTATAATATAGTTTGCACTTGTCCTACATCCCCTAGTATTTGAGCACAATTTACCCACTGATGATAGGGACATGGAATGAACAAGCAAGTATACTATTGTTTTGGACTTTATAATAAGATCAGGCCATACCGGTTTTATACCCATTTTCGTTTCTTCTCCCATTCGTGTCCCATTCTTCTTCATCAAAAGATGATGCCGAAGTCCGAGACCGGTTGTCGATCCTGCGATAACTTGAAAATCATACTTTTTAATTTCAAATTATTCAAATATACTAGAAAACATTAGACACGTTCGTTTAAAAATGTTAAAATTTATCAATTCTCTCTACGGCAATTGTCAAAAGTTCTCGGTTGACATCTCCCCCTTCCTTAGATTGTGGGTTCTTTTCCCTTTCCCAAGTATACTTGTTAAAAGGAGCTCACAACCCAATTTTTTAAACTCGCTCTTTGAACTTTCATCCCAAAATTATAACTATCATTCTAAATTAGTCCTCACGCTTTTGAAGATTCTAATTTGATCCCCCTGTTATGATATTCATTCTAAATTGATTCCTAAACTTTTTAAATATTTCAATTGCATCCCAAACTCTATGTATATGCTAATCACGTCTTTGAATTTATAAGAGGGATTCTGCTCTTTCAAATTGTTCATCCTACATGTTCATTATGAAGAATAGATTTGTTCCTACATCCTGCAAAATATTAGCTTTCTCTCGCAAATCACCTTCCAAGATACAATATTTTCATTGGAGAATGAGAGTTTATATAGAGAAAGTAAGTATTGATAAAGTATACATACATCCTTGATGATGTTTTGCTTGATTTTCCTTTTAGACTTGGGGAGATACAAAATTATGTTCATGGGGTGGCCAATGGATGCCTTCCCTTGGGCAAGGGAGAGGAGCATGTTGCGCAATGTGGGTCGGATACTTCTCTCCCGGCATCACAACCGAGAAATCAGATAAGTATGATGTCGATACCTGCCATCACAACATACATACATACTTCAAACACCAGTTCAGTTACACCAGAAAAATGCATATGATATATAACTTGATTGTTTGATGAGAGAGGAACTTACCCTTTCTTGATCCCCAAGTTTCTGAACTGATCCGGGTTGTAAAGCCCCATTCGTAACGTGATCGGGTGAAGAGAAAGCGGGATTAGGCCGGAAAAGGTGTTCGAAGATGGCCATTATGAGAAACATCGATATCAAGATGGCTGTAGCAACAAAACCAAAAGAAATTGCATTCATGGATGTTCCAAAGCTTTTCCAAGGAGTTCCCTTATCAGCTGCCACTGCTTGAGATGGACTCGGATCCGAAATCGTGTATATGTTCCATGGCCTTGATCTTTCAGTACCAAACTCAGTCATAGTTGAAGGAATCTTTCTTGGGGCATCAAAATATGCTTCAAATCAGATTTAGGCCAAGCTGCAGGCTATTATTCTCAGAAAAAAAACCTTTCCTCATTCATCAATGCTTCAAAATCCCTGAAACAGAAACAGAAACAGAAACCATGTGATCATAGATGTAAGATGAAAAATCGAGCAAACGACATCGATCCAAAGTTGCAAATAAGCCGGTGGCATCGAACTTACCGGTGACTCTCAGACGATCCTATATGTGTCTGCAAGTGAATTACTTGCACTATCAAGGGATATATATACAAATCTGTTTAGATTCTGGTCCTGGGAATTTGGGAGCAAACGTGATCTCTAGACCCTTTTGATCCAATAACTCAACTGCCCTGGAAAAACAAAACATCCACACTTCTCAATGAATTATTTTAAAGAAAGTGGAGAGCAGAGCAGCCTAGCTTTATACCCTGATTTGAAAATGTAAAGACAAAGTTATATGATAATCGCAGCAAGCAGTACACTTTGCTTTTGATGTCCTTGACGTTACATTATCTTGATGCCTAGCTTAATGAATACTATACCTTGTCTGAAGGGCAAAACCCTAAAGAAATCAAAAGCAATGGGCCTTCCTGTCGGGAAGAGCTGAAAACCTCTCGAAGATTGGCCCACGGGGTAAGTATTTGATCGAGTCAAATTAAAGATAAGCCTAAGATAAACTATTTAGGTGTTATCATGGGAAAGATGACAAAATCTCACATAATCTCCAACAAAACCCAAAGAATTGGAAAATAAAATAGATAAAGGTAAAGGCTGGTAGAGACTAGTGTTTTTAAGGCTGTAATAACTAAAGTTTGCTGCAATGTTTTAGCATAAAAAATTGTTTGTAGATGAATATAGAAACTGAATAGGCATGTGATCAAAGCAAACATAACACAATAACAATGGAATTGAATATTTAAGGGAAAAGAGGTGAAAAGTGAGGTTGTGGGATACCTTACAGCTATTCAGTACCAGACAATGTCATGATTCAAGAGAAGAAAGAAGAACGGTCTGATGCAAAAAGGAAAAGAGCTACAAAAGGAGGCCCATGTAGACCACAATTATTCCTCATCTACATACATACATGCATGCATACATATCTATATATATTATATATAATAAAGCTGGTGAGAGGAACCTATAGAAACCATTCACTTTTGTCTGACAGTACCAATGAGTAAATGCCCCAAAAGCTCTAATATTTGCAAAATTTTTCTTGTTGTTAACAGTAAAAATGGAGGCTTCTCAAAACTGCCTACAAGGCACTGTCATTGGCTTTTCTTCTTAATTTAAGGGACCAACTTTGCCAATAATTCATACAATATATAGTCTAGAAATGAGAGAGAGAAAAAATGAAGCAATAATTACAGCAGAAATTATGAAAAGGGACAGTGGAGAAAGAAAAGAAAGAAAAGAGGGTGTGTTTTCCTTACCTAAGATGCATTGAGTGACACTCTTTTGTCCACAAGATAATCAAAATGTCCCACAATGATGTGAAAGCCTTTCTTTAGACCTATACCAAAATTAATCAAAATCCCTCGCAACATTATATTTTAGAGTATTTTAACCTTCAAATTTTTATATTTAAACAAAATATTATATAATTAGATAAAAAATAATTAGATGATTAATTATTAAAATTTATCATTAAAATGATAAATTTTATGTATTTAAAGTGATAACATGATACATTATGCATATACATAAACGATGACATGGCAAATGTCATAAATACATAAGTCATATATACATAAGTAATACTAACATAACACATGTCATGTTTTTATTAGTGTGTTACATCATCATTTTAAATACATAAAAGTTATCATATTAGCATCTAACGTTGATTATTAGTCAATCAACGAATTATCAAACTAGGATAATTTTATCTCGAAACGAATTGTTAGAATTAAAATGTTTAAAATACTAGAGGTAAAATATAATTATTGTATTCAATGTTAGAAGGTAAATTTTGAGATTACACCTAAAAAGAATTCACCATGTTTAATAGCCTGGATTTTGAACTTACTACATGAAATAATCATTCAAAACTGGTAATTCATGCATGAAGGTCATTTCAACAAAGATGATTGCTCAGCCATTTCCATGTAAGACATATTTCTAAAAGAGAAAGGGACCCCATTTGATAAGAAAGCACACTAAAGCAGATTTTGGATTAAAAGAAAAAAGAAGAAAAGATTGGTAATTTCCCTTCTTTTTCACAACCAAGTCCCTTACTCAAGAACCTGTTCCCGCTAGTACATGATTTCACTTCCTTTAATCTTTATCACACTCAATAGCTTAACTTTGCTCTTTTTCCTTTTGTTTTCTAGGCCTCATTCACATTCACCACTGAACTCCCACTTGTTTCCATGTGCATCTCTCTCTTTGCGCGTGTAGAAATGATGAATCAGATGCAGATTCAAAAAGATTATCATCTCTTCCTTATTATGTGCATGTGTCACTGTTGCATTTTATATATTTTTTAATAATATTTTGGTTCAGATAAAAATAAATATTTAAATTTATTAAATATTTAATCAAGCTGGGGTAGAATTAAAGAATGACAAGTTTGTGTTCTCAAATTTTTGGTATAATTACAATTTAAGTCATTGAAAGTTTAAATATTAGACAAATTAGAAGTTGTCTTTTGAGTTTTGAGTTTTTTTTTAATTTAGGGTAAATACAAAGTAATATTTGTACAAAGACTTTCAACTATTTGACAATGAACGCTCATATCCCTACATATGTGCTTGAACTCGGGATCTCATGAATAACAATAATACCTTAATCACAAGGTCGCTCATACCCCTACACTATGTGATGCATCTAGGGTATACATAGCATCATTATGTGATGCATTATCACTCTATTTTTAGTGGGGTTAACACCACTTTTGTAGATAGAATAAAGCTCTAAGGAAGTATCAAAATAGACTATGCATGGCAACAAAGACATGCTCAATATTTTATGTTATAGATAAACTTATAAAATTTTAGGAGATGAACCTATAGAATATTAAAGGATAAAAAATAAATTATCAATAAAAAATATATATAATACTTGAAATTTATGAGAATTTAAAAATTTCAAAGATGATCGTCCTATCAACCCTTGGTCCATCCCTACGTGGCAAACTTGGATGTGCATATTTGAGTCATATGTGGGAGACGTGTGGCACCCCCACACGCCTCATTCATCAACCCAATAAAATCAATTTTCTCATCTTTGTGGAGCACTGCATCAACCAGATACGTTTCTCTAAGAAACTCTTAAGCAAAGTCAATGAACATCAATTAAATAGGCCGAATCCCTTCATTTTCCTTATCTACAAACAAAAGCCAACAACATAATCCGCCAAAAACATAGAGCAAATAGACCATGCAATATAGAATTCTTTGAATGGTTTCAATCGTAAAAAGAAATGTTGTTCTTCTTGGAAAACCCAGATTCGAACTGTTACGTCTACCGTATATATATATATATATATTGTCAATTACCCTAAAAACCCATGCACAATATAACTTAGTCGGAACCATTTTAACAAGGCCTGGCTAACGTGAAAGTGTAGCCCATGCGCAGACTATCAGTCCAATTGTGCAAAATGGATAACATTCTGCCTCGGTCTCTTTTCACTTCTGCCCAAATAAAAGAACCCACTGACTATAGTCTTGGAGCTCATCAAGCAAGTTTTAGACTTGGATTCATTTCGGCTCAATTAAATCCCTATCTTGTCATTATTATAATGATAATATCATAAATTATCATATCAATATGATAACGATTAGCAATAAAAATCAATTAAAAGGTAACATTAATACAATTAGAAACTAGTGACGATATTAGTGAGAGTGGACAAGTACTCGCTTTGAAAATTGAATTTTTTAAATAATTATTTATGTTATTAATTATGTCCAATCTAAAATTTTATTTTTATCCACTCATATAAATGTTTTTATGTTGTTAATATATATGTATGTACACCGTAACAAATATTTGTAAATTCGATTTTGATATTACCGATGCCTTCATAATTCTAGTGAGAGAAATGTTACTCTTGTCCAGACAGAACAAGTGCTGTGGACAATTGATGTGCTGGGCATGCATGACCATGGGCCATGGTCATTACAGTTAAAAAAGATCAATCACACTTTACTGGGAAGGCGTGAAAGTTGTTGGTTTCAGCTTCCATGCGCAGTTCTCCGACTCCAGGGTTGATTTGCTTGCTATTTTGTGTACGCTTTCATCAAAGTTCATAAAAATACGAAGACACTACATAGTCTATTCAGAGCACGACTTCCATGAAAGTTGAGAGCGAACTCTGATTTATTTACAAGATGTGTTCTTTTTCTGTTACTGTTTCTCTTTACTTTACCAAAGGTTCCATAATATAAGGGGTCATATATGCTTCCTTTAGGGCTTCAAGTAAACACAAGGCAAGGCAAGGCAGGCATCTTTTGAGTAAAGGTGTTCAATGTGATGGTAGCCCTCCATCCACCCTTATCTGTCACTCATCTCCCCACACCCAATCAATGGACAATAATTCTCTTTACATCACTACCTCCTTATCTTCATAAACAGAGTGATAACTGATTTGTACTTGGTATCAATCTTGAGTTTGATCTCTACACAGCTTTTAACTTACTGGACTTTGATCCCAATTCAGATTGATTGTGAAAAATAAGAAACTTAGCTTGATTGAGATAGAAAGTATATTTTATTTTAGATTGAGACAATTTAAATAATAAAAAATCTGACCCATGACCAGCACTGCGTTGGATACCTAATAATATAAACCCTTTCTATGAGCATATTGAAGCATCAAATCTTTCAATTCCATGATCTACCAAACACCACTAATTCCTCGTCCAAACTCGGCAGGGAAATGGATCAAAAACCAGTAGAAAACACCCACGTATGTGTGTATGAATGAATGCATGGTGATGCAGGGCATGGGGCCAGGTGACATCGATTGATATAAACAATGCACTATCCCCTTCATCAACTGGTTCTTTCTCGGCACGCCACCTCGCCTTCATCATGCACTACGCTCAACATTCATCTGTCGTACCATGATCTTGCGTCTGAAAACTTTGGTAATGGATACACAGGGTCGGACAAGTAAGTTCCATGTCATTTATGCTACAGCTCAAGAATAAATGAACAAAGCCCGTAACAATCAAAGCAGCTTTAACAATAACTTCTAGTGAAATATAAGGAACCTGGTTCTCCCTTTTTGCATGCAAAGTCAACTCTTGTTCCTTCTTTATAATTGATTGATTCATACAGAAGAGTACAAATGCATCTGTTGTGAAACTGTAACTGGTTTTCACCAGAAAAGCAGTAAAACGATCACAATGGCCACATGTTTCGTCCCGGGTTTTGTCAAAAACAAATTACTTTCGGTACTTGGGAGTAATCAAAATCATGTACCAATTCCTAGGGGCTTTAGTAGCCCCGTCCTTGTTGGTTCATGGATTGGGATTGGCGGTCCAAGGTGATTCATCTCTGTTGGTATATGGATGGGGGTTGGCGACTGTTGATACGAGAAATGGGTTGTGACGATTTTTTACTGTTCATTCTTTTGGTTTGAATAAAGATTCAAATCTTAGAGTTTTGTGAAAAAAAAGAGAGAATAGACAAATTGAAAAAGATGATGAGTCATCGTATAAGAGGACGAGATTTAGAAAGATCTCGTTCTTTATACTTACATGTTGATTTATATACAATCACTTAGTATATACAATCTGTAACAACCCGATTTTCAAAATAATATTTAATTGAAATTGGAGGGTTTAATTGTGAAAATTTGGCAAAAATTTGGGACTGAATTGAAAGATTTTAAAACTTGGAGCTTGTTTTAAAGTTAAAAAAAATTCAGGGACCAAGCCCTGAATTTAACCTTGGAGTGTCGGCAGGCAATTGTTATATGCGTGATTTCTGTTTTGAAAAACAGAAATCAATTTCACAAATCCTTCCTCACGCACACAACTTCCAAACTCGATTCCGACGCCGTCCGAATTCCGATCGTTATTTTGAAACCACCGTTGTGTTCATCATCGAGAGAGGAACAAACCTTTCAAATTAATTGAAGCGAAACGCGGCCAAACGTCGGGAATTTCCAGTCAAAGTAGCGACGGTTTTGTTAGCTCTATCGCCGAGAAAATCTCAAATTCACCGTCGATCGTTGCTCAGTTTAAGACACCTCCTGCACCATCGTGTTCCTTGTGTCGTTTCGAGTTCACCGGTGTCAACCTTGTCCGCCGTAGACGGCGGCGCATGAGGAGGTGGTGCAGTCAAAGATTCGGTCGATTTGAAATCGAGCTCTCCACCGTTCAAAATTTTGAACCGATCGTTGTAAGTATCTCGAAATCGCGCAAAATAATTTTTAGAAATTTTTCTGGGATTTTTAGGGCCCCGGAGGACGCCTCACGTGCCACACGCGCCGCCGCAGGGCGAGTGGCTGCTGGAAACCGGTTTAATCGATTTTCAACCGGTTCTGACCGGTTTCGACCGGTTCGAACCGGTTTAACCGGTTTTCAACCGGTTCTGACCGGTTTCGACCGGTTCAAACCGGTTTGACCGGTCTGACCCGACCGACCGACCGACCCGACCGGACCGGACCGTTGACCGTTGACTTTCTTTGACCAAAACTTAAAATGGCTTTGACCGAGCATTAAACGACCGTTAATCTTTTTCGAGTATACCTATCATGATAGTTTTCGACGTGCCAAATCCGTTTCCGCTGTCCGTTTCGTCAAATTCGAACTCGAAGGACTCCAAATCGACGGTCAAAGTAGTTGACTTTGACTTTGACCAAGAATATGAATTTTTGAAAAGTCATACTTTATGTTTTTCGACGTCTTGATTCCGATTCCGCAATTCGTTTGGCCAAATTCAGACTTGAAATACCCCAAATTGATAGTGAAACCCGAAAAATGCTTATATACTTAAGAAGTCTAGTTTTGAACAATTAAATAGGATTTGAGACTGATAGATTATTATTGTTTGAAGGTACAAGAGACTCTCCGGATCGTTCGACAACTCGACCCAGCTCTTCTAGATCAGTTAAACCACGTGTGCCATTATTCACGCGTTCGAAAACTGTAACAGAGCGTGGTGAAACTAACAATCAGTAGATTTGCTATTTGAACCTATTGTCGAGGTGTGTTCCCTACTTATTACTGAACTGTTTTATTGGTTTTAATATGTGGTACACCGAATTCATTGGTTATTGTTTTATAGATGCACCAATTTAATGTGACAATTTATGGAATATGGCTGCTATCTAATTTTTGTTTTGAAATGGTATATGATTACCATGTTTTTGGATTTATGGAATTTATGTCACGGTGCAATTGAATTTTGGAATTGAATTACGATGGAATAGCTCTGATCAAGCTAACTGGGCCTAATGTGACTCTTGAGGGCCCCAAGATGTTTCATTAGGTCGGCTTTCCTTTGCTGTGTGCTTAGGGTAAGCTATATGGACTTATTGACTTGGGCTTAATGATACAAGCTTCAGAGCCTATCCTTAAGTCGGCTTTCTTTTTGCTATGTGCATAAAGTAAGTTATATGGAAAATAATTTTGAGAACTACTGATGGTGTACCAGAAAAGGGTTTAAACTATGATTTCCAAAAAGTTAAACTCTTTTACGAATTTGTGAGATTACTGGACTATAATTTGTACCTATTGTGATTTTATGGAAATGTTGGGACACACTGAGCCTAGCTCACCTTTTGAAAATGTTTTCCCCCTTTCAGATACTGTTGGTTAGATACCTCGGTTCGAGCACTTGGAGGATCAAAATATCTCTTGAAGTAAATCAGATTGTAATGTTTTTATCTTGCAAGTTGACTTTATTTTGGTGACATGGACCTTATTTTAAAATATCGGATTTTATAATGATGACTCTTTTGCTAATACTGCTCGGTTTATTGTGATTTTGAATTTGAAGACATGTTTTAAATTAAATTATTATTTATTGGTACTATATTTACGAGTTGAATTTTGATAGTATAATTTGTTTATAATTTCATGTTATTTATAATGTGATTTTATATTGATGGAATAACGGTTTCGGAAAATGTCTTTAATAATCATAATGTGATCCACTAGACTTAGTCGAAACGCATAGGCCGGGTCTAGGGGGTTACACAATCACTTAGTGTTAGTGTCAAATTTAGGATTATGATTATTTGTAGATAATTTGACTAAATATATTTGACTGTTAAATAGTAAATTTAGTTATAATATATCACGAGGTCTGTCAATATACATGTCAAGAGATTATAACTAATCGGAGGATATGAGATTCCAAAAACTTCTAAAATAGTGGAAGTTACAATAAGCTTTGGAGTATATGGTGGATCCCAATGTAGCTTAATATTGGTCCACATGTTAAATTCATAGGAGTTATTCTTTGAAAAAAATGGTTAGATGATTAGACATAAGAAAAAATGTATTTAAGGCGGAAAGATTTAGATAAAGCGAAGTTGAGATGTGTCCTCTTGGAATTTTTCTCCTGCAGGCACCAATTGTATGTTAATGTTGTTACAAATGCATACACTGCCGAGAACCAAGCCATAGGGACAGTGACCCTTCAGAGGGGCCAGACCTGCCCTTCAATAAGACATTGTCCACATGAAAGAGATAAACAAAAGAATAGAGCAGTGAGCTCATGTTATTACAAGAGCACACTTTCCCATGTTAATAGAAGAGGGATCATGGATTTTTCTTTTCTTTTTGAAGTGATATATCAAAAGCAGATCAAATACCCTTGCTTTTACTTTTGAGCAGCCTCTTTAAGACTATTCCATCTTCCATTAAAGCTCAAACATTGCACATTAACCAGAGACTTGGTCCCAGCTCCACAGGGAAAAGCAAGGGGGAGTTGATGAACCCGAGAAAGCTTCCACTGGTTTCCTTCCCTCTATGAAACCCCATAATTATATACTGATCATTCAACTAACATTTGTAATGATATGTTACTAATCATCTTCTTCTTTTTCACCCCTTCTGCAATCTCTGCAGGTACATGTTTCCAGTTCACAGATAAAAAATTCATCACCCTCCTGGTCTATACAAGGTTACTACTACTGTGTGTATACACACTTCGCATGGAAATACTCAAAAAAAGAAGGCTATCAACCTATGGTGTCAGTGACAGTGAAGAGTTTTTAACATTAGCATAAATCTTTTGATATTTATCATGGAAACCCCTTTTTAATGGGACCTCCATGCATGTATGCATCATCAAGATGATCACTGATCACACAACTTGCTTTCTGTGCCCCCAACTATTTTTAATGGCATTTTCTCTGTTGGATTTGGTTCACATTCACCAATTATTAAATCTTCTTCTTTTTTACCTTTTCTATCCACAAACATTATAATAATGGAAACCAAGTTTGGCTCGTCGGTTGTTAGCAATTTACCCCTTTTAATTTGGACGAAAAGTCATTGAAGGTGAGAGAATGACCATTAACCGGTGTTTGAAGGAGGAAAAAAGTGAATTATCACGAGGAAAAAGAAAGAGATAGAGGCCGAATATAAGAGGTTCATACTTTTTTAGTCGATTAAGAATATTTATAGTAGTAGTAGTACTTAATGCGTGTGTCAGCCATAGGACTATTAGGTCTATTTGTAAGCTGACAGGTTAGACATATTTAATGGTCAAACATTGAATTTCATTCTAACGCATCATATGGGACTGTCAAAAACATTGTCTTAAGTCTCGTCTGCGTATTGTAGTTGACTTGAGGGCCTATATTCGGGGATGCGAGTTTTTAGGGATTCTGACAAATAGTATCTTCGGAAATATAACGAATTAACAAATTATGTGAATCTGTCAGAGGTATTATTTAGGTCTCGTATGCAAATTATAATTGATTTGAGGATTTGTGTTTAGAGACCTGAGCTTTTAGAGACTCCATCAAACAGTGTCTCCAAAGATGTAACAAACATGAATCAAGATGAACATTACACCAAAGCAGTATAAAAAGAACAAGAAGCCTACACTGGTATGGTGAGAGCCTTGCTTCTATGAATCATTCTCCAAGTTTTTGAGGCAACAACAACCTAACTTGGCTAAAATGGGAATTAGATGGTCGTCAATTGATGAAAAGAAACAGGACAATTTAGCCATTTTAAAAGTACTGAAAGTGCAACTCCACCATCTATAAAGAACATACCTTGATTAAAGCAAAAGGGTATTTTTGTCATATAAAATAAAGGAAACAGAGCATCACTTTCACTTTCTCCCCTCCCTTGTAGTTCTAAACTTTAAATTTTTGTTATCCAATGCCTTTTCTTTTTCCACTTAGGTGCATTTGAAGATCAATTTTTGTTATCCCTCACTTGGCTTTTCTTTAGATAAAGAATGAGCAAATGAAACTATTAGTACTGCTTTAGTAGCAGAATTTCAATATCCTGTTTCTCTTCTTCCTCTTGGAGATTAACCAAAGGGAAAAAAGAAAGAAAGAAAGAAAGAGCAGAGCTAATAAAGGAGAAGTTTGGAAGACTCTTGTATGAAGATGATTGATTCCTCAAGCCTATACACAATTGAAGTTTCTCAGATTTCCTTCACTTTTCCATCCTCCTTTCTTAGAAAATCTTTTGTTGTTGGAACGCTTGAATCCTCTTGAAACGTATTTCCAAAGGGGAACATGGTCCCTCTCATTGTCTTGACATTATTCTCTCTTCTAACCACCTTTTCTTCTTCTTCTGCTACTTCATTACTTACTGATTTTCATGCCTTGGTGACGCTCAAAAAAGGGTTTCAGTTCCCTGAACCGTTATTAAGCTCATGGAATTCTTCGGAACCGAGTTCGGTATGCTCTTGGGTCGGAATATTCTGCTCCGGGGGACGAGTTGTTTCGTTGGACTTGACAGACATGAACATGGGCGGCTGTGTTTCTCCTCAGATTTCACGGCTCGATAGACTGATTAACCTCTCTCTGGCCGGCAACAATTTCACCGGCGGCATTGAGATGGCAAACTTAAGTGAGCTTCGGGTTCTTAACATCTCGAACAACCAGTTCAATGGTGATCTGGATTGGAACTATTCAAGTATCGCTAACCTGGAAGTGTTTGATGCTTATAACAACAACTTCACTGCTTTACTGCCGGTTGGGGTTCTTGGGTTGAAGAAACTCCGGCACTTGGACCTCGGTGGGAATTATTTCCACGGCGAAATCCCGTCGAGTTACGGCACACTAGTGGGGTTGGAATATCTTCAGCTCTCGGGGAATGATCTTCATGGAAAAATCCCTGGGGAATTAGGTAACCTCAAGAACTTGAAAGCTCTTTACTTGGGGTCTTATAATGTTTTCGAAGGTGGTATCCCTGTAGAATTCGGTAATTTGGTGAGCTTGATTATCATGGATCTTTCAAGCTGTGAATTAGATGGTCCAATTCCTCGAGAACTGGGAAATTTACAGTCTTTGGATACACTCTATCTGCATATCAATCGACTTTCGGGTTCGATTCCGAAGCAGTTAGGCAACCTGACAAGCTTGAATAATCTCGATCTTTCGCACAATGCGCTCACTGGAGAAATCCCATCGGAGTTCGTCAATCTAAAGAAGCTTAGGCTATTCAATCTCTTCATGAACAGGTTACACGGGTCTATTCCGGACTATGTAGCTGAATTGCCCTATTTGGAGACTCTGGAACTTTGGATGAACAATTTTACTGGTGTTATACCGAAGAATCTCGGTCGAAATGGGAAGCTGCAGTGGCTCGATTTGTCGTCCAACAAGCTCACCGGTACGATTCCGCCGGACTTGTGTGTTTCTAATCAGCTGAGTATATTGATTTTGATGAAGAATTTCCTCTTCGGGAATATACCTCAAGAGATGGGGAGATGTTATAGTCTCACTAGAGTAAGGTTGGGGCAGAATTACTTGAATGGTAGCATTCCGGACGGGTTCATCTACTTGCCCGAGTTGAGTTTAGCAGAGTTGCAGAGCAATTACCTGTCGGGGAGATTGGCCGAAAATCGTAATCGTTCATCGAAACCGGTTAAGATAGGGCGGCTTAATTTATCGAACAATCTCCTCTCCGGTCCATTGCCATTTTCACTTTCCAACTTGTCTTCTCTTGAAATCCTTCTACTTAGTGGAAACCAATTCTCTGGTCCAATACTACCATCTATAGGAGAACTCAGGCAAGTCTTGAAGCTTGATCTTAGTAGAAATTCGCTTTCCGGTAGTATTCCGGCAGAAATCGGAAATTGTTTGCATCTCAGTTACCTTGATATGAGCCAGAATAACCTTTCTGGTTCAATTCCACCTGAGATTTCCAATGTGCATATCCTGAGTTACTTGAATGTATCGAGGAACCATTTAAATCAAGCCATTCCCCAAAGCATAGGGTCGATGAAAAGCCTTACGGTTATCGACTTCTCGTTCAATGATTTCTCCGGGAAGCTTCCGGAAGCCGGCCAATTCTCCGTCTTTAACGCTTCGTCATTTGCAGGCAATCCTCAACTTTGTGGTTCTCTCTTGAACAATCCTTGCAATTTCACTGTCATTGCAGGCACCCCGGGAAAGGTCCCCGGGGACTTTAAATTAATCTTTGCACTCGGCCTTTTGATATGCTCTGTAATATTTGCCACTGCCGCCATAATCAAGGCCAAGTCATTTAAGAAAAAGGGTTCGAATTCTTGGAAGATGACCACATTCCAAAAGCTCGAATTCACGGTTTCCGACGTCCTGGAATGCATTAAAGACGGTAACGTGATCGGAAGAGGAGGTGCAGGGATTGTGTATCATGGGAAAATGGCTAATGGAATGGAAATTGCAGTGAAAAAACTTGTTGGTTTTGGCACTACCAGCCATGACCATGGTTTTCGAGCCGAAATCGAGACACTCGGAAACATTAAGCACAGAAACATCGTCAGGTTGCTAGCGTTTTGTTCCAACAAGGAAACCAATCTCTTGGTTTACGAATACATGAGAAACGGTAGTCTCGGAGAAGCATTACATGGGAAAAAAGGTGGATTCCTGGGATGGAACTTGAGGTACAAGATTGCAACCGAAGCAGCCAAAGGCTTGTGCTACCTTCACCATGATTGTTCGCCGTTGATCGTTCACCGGGACGTTAAATCGAACAACATTCTACTCGATTCAAGCTTCGAAGCACACGTCGCCGATTTTGGACTGGCGAAGTTCTTGGTCGACGGAGCTGCATCGGAGTGCATGTCAGCTATTGCAGGGTCCTATGGCTACATTGCTCCTGGTATGTACAAAAATTCCCTTCCTTTTAATTTTCTTAATTAATTAATTAATGCTCTCTAATTACGCCTCTCGTACGGTGTATAGTTAGTTAAGTTGATGTATTATCAAACTGTCACATTTGTGTTCCATGTTAGAAGCAATCCCAGCCGTTGGATTGTCCTTATCAGATCAATCAGGGAAATAAACCGTAATTAGTGATTGCGACATGTGATTCCTAGTTGTATGAATCATTCGCCAGCCAACGGCACATAATTCATCCAACTGTAACCTATCTAGCGATGAGTTCGAGTTGTGCCGGGTCGGATTTTTGACCCAGTTGAACTTGATTCAAATATTATATTTTTTTATAACTCAAGTTTAAGGAATCTTGATTTGATTCGAATTTTAACTTGATTTTAAAGGTAAAAATTTGTTTTTTTTATCTAAACTTAGAACACAAAAAAATATATAATTATTTTATTAAATAAAATAATAATCTAATAAAAATAGTAGCTAGAAAAAATTATTACAACTATCAATTTACTCTTAAAATATAATTATATTATTATCTCTTATGTTAATATTTTTTATTTTAAACTCGAACTTAATTTTAATTCTTCAAAAAACTTGACTTGAACTCTATTTTTTTATAAATAATATTATCAAATCGAGTTAGATTAAATACTAATTCCTAAACCTATCAACTAAATATTGTTTGTCAACTAATTTCGGTGTTTAGTAATAATTAAAATTTTAATTATATATAGAATCTAATTTAAGAATCTAAATCTTATTTATAATTAAAATCAGGAACAATGTGGGGCCCACAAAGGATTTGATTTCAGAATAAGAGCCTGAGAGGGTCAATCCGACAAAAGTGAATCAGACTGTGATGTCTAACGTTACATGGCGTTGAGTGTCGTGAAAGGGAACCGACATGCATCCCCACCACAATTATTTTTTTAAAATTTATTTTTGTTTGAATGATGATGTTGGCCTTACGTGTAAAGCTTTCTTCTTCGCTGCAGTTACCCTTCGCCATTCTGCTTTACCTCGACAAGTTGACGTCTTTTCCGCCATTCTCGATTACTGAATTCGTCGTGACAATATTCTCCTTTTGTTGCAGAATACGCGTATACACTAAAGGTGGACGAGAAGAGCGACGTTTACAGCTTCGGCGTGGTACTTCTAGAACTGATCACCGGCCGGAGACCGGTGGGTGAATTCGGAGAAGGCATAGATATCGTTCACTGGGCTAAACTAAAAACAAACTGTCGAAGAGAAGAAGCGGTTAACATCGTCGATCCGAGGCTAACAACCGTGCCCAAAGATGAAGCAATACATCTGCTGTTCATCGCGATGCTATGCGTACAGGAAAACAGCATCGAGCGTCCGACGATGAGAGAGGTGGTTCAGATGCTATCGGAGTTCCCTCGTCAACCTCAGTAGCAAACTTCATCTTCTTCTCTCATTCACACTCAACAGACAAAAATCTTGACCTGATATCCATATATATTTAAAGATGGTGTTGCAGATTTGTTGTTAAAGCTTGCTATTTGCAAAGTATATATCTATTTTCTTTTTATTTCCCAGTTTAGATTTTGGCATAGCAGGAGCTTTGGTGACTGATATATATATATATATAATTGGGAGTAATCAATGGGTGGAGAGTGTTGCATTTTAGTATATAGATTTGTTTTATTTTTACTTGGATTAAAATGTTTGAAATCATATAGATTTGAGTACTGTTATTTTTTATTATCCTAATGGTAGAAGATGAATAAATTTTTTTTGAAAATCATATAGATGAGAGAATTTTAGAAGAGAAATAAAAAAAAATAATAAAAAATAAAAAAAAATATATTTTATAATATAATATTTTAGGTCGGGTCAGATATTTTTTTACATTGAATTCTACTTCATCCCATATTTGATTATCATTCTTTTAAAACTCGATTTATTCCGTCCCAAATCTATTTTTCAAATTATTTTGATGACTAAATTGATAACATCTTAAAACCTGAATGACTATTTGAAGACTTTATCCTAAATAATAAATAGGACGGGAGAAATTAAATCGAGCTCTTGCCCAGCCCAACAAGAACATTGAATCTCCTCTCCTGAAATGCAACGGTCACGATTCCTTGTTTCTTAAACTAAGGACTAATCACATCCGTCCATTTGTTTTGGGAAAACAAGACGGAATTTTTACTTCCAGTTTTAAAACCCCTCAGCGTTTCAGTCCTCCTCTCTCACACTTCCTTTTTTTATACTTCATTCTCTTGAAGAAGAAAGGAAGAAAAACTCTTCAAATCAAAAGCGGGTTTACTAGCCGAAACCCGACTCATCAGATCGGATCCGGCCTCTTCCAGGTATGTATGGCTTTCGATTTGTGTTCCTCTTAGCTTTCCCCAAAAATTTAAATAAGTTCTTATTTTGTGTACTGTTTTAGCGGAAGTATTCTTTGAAGAAATTACAATGGGAGTTTTCTTTAAATGAAATGTTATTCCCTTCACAATTGTTAACGTTATGTTCTTTGTCGGTGCAAAATTCCCTTTCTTATTTGTAAAATTATTCAAAATCCCGATTTTCCCTCAGAATATCTCAGCCTTTATTTGTTTTTTGTTTTCTCCTGAAGGCATCAGGAATTGACTAATATATATATGTGTGTGTGTGTGTGTGGATTCTTTTTTGGTCTAAAAAAAGATATTTTTTCATTGTTTTTGGAATTTATAATAAAAACAGTACCTTTTACTAAAAAAAAGAATCTCTTGCTTCTCTTCATGAGAAAAGAATTGAATCTCTTTCTTCCACACCTATTTGACGTGACAACTTTCAATTTCATCATATTTCAATGCAATTTTTGTTTTCTAAACAACCTTCTTCTTATTGTTTAAATGACACATATCATATAGATGGTTTTTTTTGTTTATTTAGTTTTTAAGTAGTTTTTTAATATGATAAAATAATATTGAGAGATACCTTATGCGCTAAGTATATGACCATGACTTATATATAGAGAAGTAGTATTAAGTATTTACCTTTCCTTCATTGAAAGTAGGCGTTGAATATTAGATCAAATATATCCTCTTATAAAAGATTGCAACTCCAGCCTTTTACTTAAGCCTTTTGGCTCTTCTTTTTTTGTTAGGTCAATTGGGTTTTCGAATATTTGTTTGATATTTCGATAATGGCCGGTGAGAAGACCTTGGAGAATCGTATCCTTTGCTTGAGTTATGATTATTTGTTATGCTTTCCTTGTATGCTTGCTTTTAATGGTTTATGATGTTTATAGATTGACTGTTAGTGACCAAAATCAGGTTTATAATCTCTTAAGCTTGAGAGTGGCCAGTAAACAATATGTATCAGTGGGGATTAATCAGTTTGTTTGGCATATTTCTTATGGGGGATGTAATTGGTATATCAAAAAAAATCCTATTAATACTATTAATCAGCCTCATGATATCACCTTGATTATAATAAGCAGCAGCACTTTCATGTGCTATTAAGCTTCCCTATTGATATTATATGTCAGTTTCTCAATTTTGCACTGGAAGTCAAGCTTTTACCTGGATCGATTTTGATTGTGTGATCTGTTTTTGTGAATGTTATGTTTTCCAAATGTTTTCTGATTCTGTGATGATATTACATAACCATGTAACTTAGCGGAACCTATCGATGTGGTTTTGAAGTCTGAAGCTGTTCCCAAATTGGCTGAGCAGGATGTGGTATGTTGTGAATTTCTCTCAAAATTTTCGTTTGTCTGGACTTTTTTTTTCTCAAAAATTATCTGTGGTTTACTTTATCAACTATTGTGCATGGATTTTTGACGTTGGCATGGTTTGATGTTTCCAGCCTTCTGGAAAACTTGGAATGGCATCTGATTTGACTTCGACAATATCTTCTACACCAAATCCTTCTTCTGGCACGAATCAAGACTTGATTGGAGAGCCTGGTGCCAAACAATCTACTGACTTTGACAATTATTACTACCCAGGTTAGAATTTGATTATATAGCTGTTCTTCACGCTGAAACATGGCTTTCAGACACTATGTTAGAGTCAGTACAGCCGTGGTTTTTATTGCAAATGAGATTAGGTTTTCATTTTATCTTTAATTGCTGTCATTCTTTAGATAGCACATTTACATGCCAAAGTTTTTGAATAATGATGAACTACATTGATAATGTATGTTTTCTAAATCACACAAAAAGGAAATTGTTGAAAAGTGTTCCTAAATTACAGAGGTTTCAGAAATCTTTATGAATTTGAAAATGATATTTTAAATTCACCCTCACAATTTCTATGAAAAACAAAATCTATATTTACAACAACAACAACAACAAAACCCTATTCCCATATGCAATGGGGTAAGGGGGAGGTAGAGTAGTAGGCTGCCCCCAACGCATAGTTAAGAGCAGCTTCCGTGGAAGACCTCCGGCAGTCAGAAAATTAAAAATAAAGATAAAATGCAATGCATGTATAAATAAATATTTGAACAGTCTTCATATACAATCTTCATATGCGCGTCATATAATGGGAAGTAATCTTTGCTAATAAATCCCTGCATAATAATCTCAGCATATAGACAGAAACCTAAGACCCGACTAAAATTAAAGAGAGGAAACATGAAGAGAATGATACACAGAAGTTGAACGATAGCAAACTACGAGAATTAATAAAGTTAAAAGGGTTAAAACCTAAACTAAGGCAACATTAATCCGCTACCCTAGTTCTAAGCCTTCATTAATTCCAATGACAGAAACGTATAAAAAGTAGAAGTCATGAGAATTACTATAAAGACATTAAAAGAAGACATAAATGCTACACCCTATGGATGTGACCCGCACTAATCGACTACCCTGGTCTTAAGTCTCCATAATTTACTATCAGAGGTCATGTCCTCGGTAAGGGCTAAATCCTTCAAATCAGATCTTAAGCAGTCTTCCCACTTCCGCCTTGGTCGTCCTCTCCTTCTGGCACCGTCGACTGTAATCGACTCTATCCTCCTGACCGTATCCGACGGGTGTCGCCTAAAGACATGCCCAAACCACCGTAGTCTTCCCTCTCTCAATTTTTCGGATACAGACACCACCCCCAAGGACATCCTAATAGCAGAGTTTGGTGTCATGTCCCATAGAGTCTTACCACATGCCCATCGAAGCATTCTCATTTCTGCGGCCTCCATCCTCCTTACGTGATCCTTCTTGATTGCCCAACATTCTGATCCATACAACAGCGCTGGTCTTATTGCCATTCTATAAAATTTTCCCTTAAGTTTTTGAGGCACCTTCTTGTCACACAAAACTCCAGTAGCTGCCCTCCACTTTAGCCATCCCACCTTTATACGGTGTGTAACGTCATCATCTACACCCCCATCCTTATGTATCATAGACCCTAGGTACTTAAAACAATCCTTTGAGGGGAGAACGTGTCCTTCGATGCATACTTCTACATCTTCATCGTTTTGGTTCCCACTGAAGTTTGAACATAAATACTCTGTCTTTTCAATATTGATCCTAAGACCTTTTTCTTCCAAAGCAGTCTTCCAGGTAGCCAGTACTATTCAGCTCAGTTTTTGTTTCAGCAACTAGGACAATGTCGTCAGCGAAAAGCATACACCATGGAACACCATCTTGTGTCGCACAATAGATGTCGTCTATAATCAAGGCGAAGATGTAAGGGCTAAGAGCCGACCCTTGGTGGAGTCCGATTTCCACCGGGAATGCCTCGGTGTCGCCAACTATAGTCCTGACGTATGCAGTAGATCTACAGTACATATCACGAATCACCCGGATATAAGCAGTTGGGATCCGTCTCGTTTCCAAGGTCTTCCAGATCGTATCGCGGGGAACGCTATCATACGCCTTCTCAAGGTCAATGAACGCCATGTGAAGATCTCTATTTTTTTCCCTATATTTCTCCATAAGCCGTCGAAGTAGATGACGCCTCCGTAGTAGACCTGCCTGGCATAAAGCCAAATTGGTTTTCCGAAACCCTAGTAACCTGTCTCAACCTAGCCTCTATCACCATTTCCCATAGCTTCATGGTATGACTGAGTAGTTTAATACCTCTGTAGTTGCCACAACGTTGGGGATCTCCTTTAATCTTAAAGATTGGTATCACCGTAGACTCTCTCCACTCCTCTGGCATCTTGGCAGTCTCTAAAATAATATTAAAGATGTTGGTCAACCACTTAACTCCTTCTTCTCCTAGGGCCAACCACACAGTGATAGGAATTTGATCTGGACCGACAGCTTTGTCCCTCCCCATCTTTCTAAGAGCCATTTTGACTTCCTCAAACCCAATCCTACTTGTAGGGCAGTCATTTGCCGTAGTATGATGGTCGGCTGGCCCATCAACGGTACTATCTCTACAGGGGGAGGCACCGTCATTAAATAAGCCAAAGAAGTAACTACCCCAAACCCTCTTAATATCATGATCTTTCACTAAAAGAACACCATTGTTGTCCTTAATACACCTAATGCTACCTAGATCCTTTTTCCTATTCTCCCTGGATTTTGCAAGTCTGAAGATGCCGTTTTGTCCTTCCTTGGTGTCTAATCTCTTGTACATTTCCTCATATGCCTTTTCCTTTGCTTTAGCCACCGTTTTCTTGGCTTCCCGCTTTGCTTCCTTGTATATTTGTTTAGCTCTCGATCTTTCTTCGTCGTCATTGCATTGTAGAAACTCCTTGAAGCAAGTTTGCTTTGTCTTCACCTTAGTTTGGACTTCGTCGTTCCACCACCACGATTCTTTATGCTCCTTGACCTTCCCTTTCGACAACCCAAGGGTGTTTTTGCCCACCTCTCTGATGGAACTTGCCATATTTTTCCATAACATAGCAGCATTATTTGAGTTTGTAGTTCTAAAATCTGTATTAGACAAAACCTTACTCCTAAAGTCATTTGCTTAAGCTAAATCATGTTTCCCAATAAAGGATAAATGTTTTGAGGGGAACAAATTTTTTTTGGCGTTAGTTCCATGCTTCAATTTTATTGTTAGATATGTTGGTCTTTTTTTCTTCTTTTGCAGCTTGGTTTACCATTGTACTTAAACCAATATGCAGATTTAGTTTTGTAAAAGAATAGTAATTGGAAGCTTTTTTATTTTTGGTGCAGGTTATGATGGGTCATTTACTCAATCTGATGATAAGGGCTATTTTCTTAGTGACGGTTCACACACAGTATGTTCTTAGTTCCTTCACTGCACTTTTTGTTTCTTAAAATCATCCCTTCATATTGGTTCCAGTTTATCATTCATGTGGAATCACGAAGAAATGTTGATTCTTTTTTTTGGGGGTTGTTGCTCAAGGGAGTGCAATCAGAAAATGGTTCCTTGGTCTACTATTTGCCTGGCTATAACCCATATGCAACTGGGGCTTTAATGGGTGTTGATGGGCAATGCCTTGGTCAACAACCATATTATTCATCAGGATATTATCAGCCTCCGGTTTCCTATGGAGCAGAAGCCTTGCCTTGTTACACATGGGATTCGACATATGCTGTAGATGTTTTCAAATGGAAACTTTGATGGTTTTGGAAATGTAGGATATGGCTCAGGTTCTGCTTTTTCAAAATCAAATGGTTTCAACTCAACAAAATCAAATGGCCTTGGTAACAAAGTATCGGGATCTACTTATGCTCAGCCTAACAAACCACTTAGCAAGGTACTTAAGTGTTCCTGGTGTCATTCATTATGGGGATTATGATATTTTTATCAGCAAATCTATTGCTTGAATTTATTTCTGGTTTATTGTAGGCAGATGGTTTTGAAGTATTTTTTTTGAGACAAGAATGCTACTTCTGCTGCATATATTGTTAAAAGTGGTTTATAATGGCATATTTACAAAAATATTGTGTGCTGGATTATTATAGGGTTTATATCAGTAATGAATTAATCTTCCATGGTGCAACTAATTTGTTTACTTTGAACATCATTAGATTGTAGTTGAGGGTCATCAATTTTTTTTGCAACATTTTTCCCCTTGGGATCTCAAGGTTTTGATTATCTGAGTTCATGTTGCAGGGGCCTTATTCGGGTTCTGATCTATCCGCAGGATCTTATAGGGGATACTACCAAGCTGGAAAATCTCCATTTCATAACCAAAAGCAAGGTCTTTACCAACACAATGGTCCTATGAACTACAGACAAAATGGTAGAGCATGGAATCAAAATGACGGATATAAGAAATCCAACAGAGATGTTGACTTCGAAAACTCTGCTGAACTAACTCGTGGTCCAAGGGCTGTTCCTTTGAACTCTTCTGTTAAGAAGGAAGACCTGGGACTTAATCTATATAAAGATAAATACAACCTACCAGATTTCCAAACCGAGTATGAAAATGCAAAGTTCTTTGTCATTAAGTCTTACAGTGAGGATGATGTCCACAAATCCATGAAGTATGACGTGTGGTCAAGTACTCCAAATGGCAATAAGAAGCTAGATGCTGCATTCCATGAAGCAGAGACTAGAGAAAGTGAGACTGGCACTAAATGTCCTATATTTCTCTTTTTCTCGGTAAGTTGGAAACACATAATCTTTGCAGGAGTTTCCACAACCCTTAATCGAATAAAGGTCTTTCTAGGAATCAGTTTTCGTTGTGGTTTAATTAGTTAACTATATCGTAGTAGTATTTTTATCTGACCATCACGATGGATCTATATGACTCAGATCTACTGTCTTGAATGTTAACAAACTGCTGCTTTTAATTCTTACAAGTACCCATTTAATTCCTTTAGGCTGTGTCTGCTAAGCGAATCTCTTATTTATGTTTATATTTATTTATAAATGGCTTCTGCAATAAGGATACTTGTTTTTTTAATTATTATTTATTACTTGCTGTGGACTATTTTACGTTCTTTTTAATTCCCTTTCTTCTACCGTTACATGTTTATATAGTATGAATTCTTATGTTGTTTCTTAACAATGTAATGTCAGGTTAATGGAAGTGGACAGTTTGTTGGGTTAGCTGAGATGATTGGCAAGGTGGACTTCAATAGAGATATGGAATTCTGGCAACTGGACAAGTGGAATGGTTTCTTCCCTCTGAAGTGGCATGTTATAAAAGATATCCCTAACAAGGAGCTGTTCCACATTATCCTAGAAAACAACGAGAACAAACCCATAACGCATAGTCGGGACACTCAAGAGGTATTGTGGTTTCTTCTTTTGCTTGACAATATTGTTGTGTTTATAGTTGTGTATGTTGCAAGCCATCGAGCTTTGTGGATTTTTTCATGCTTTGATGTGTTATGAAATGATTTATTGGGAAGCAAGGGAGGGGCAAATATAAGTTCAACGCATTATGCGAGCTAATGGTGGAAAAATATACAAAAGAACTGATGAACCACTTTCTTCTCTTTCCTCCTTCTCCCATCACCTGGTTTTGTGATTGTCGTGATCATCGATGAAGACTTCAATGGTATTACTCTTTTTGCAATTTGCAGATTGGTCTCAAGCAAGGCTTAGAAATGCTGAACATCTTTAAAGGTTATTCAGAAAAATCATCATTGTTAAACGACTTTGGGTTTTATGAAAATCGAGAGAAGACTCTTAACGCGAAAAAGAATTACAAGTCCGGTACTCTAGGATATGCGGAAGATGGTTTGACTGTGAGTTCTCTCGATCTCTCTCTCAACTAAACACATCATTGATTCATTTTTATCTCTGTCACCTAGCATACTCACCCCTGAATTATATTTAAGATCCTAATTTATGACATCGTTTGATATTAGGTTATTCCTTTTATACAGAATCAAACAAAGAACACTGCAGATCCAACATCCCTCATCAATCTGACCATGGAACTATCCCTTAACGGCTGCATTCGGAAGAGCGTTGTTGTAAAGAACCCGATAGCAAGTACCTTTCCTTCTGTCCCTGCACCATAGCCATTCAAGTTTTAACTTAGTTAAGGTGTGCAAGGGGTTCTGCTTTATAGTTTTTTCTGCTTTGAAGTTATTTTCCTATGTTTTTTAGTTATAACAAGCAGTGAATTTGAATTAGCTTTGGTTGGAGTATTATGGTTCATTTCTGAAATAGTTAGTTTCTTTTGTAGTGGATTCCTGTTACTTTATAATCCCTAATAAAGCATTAATAAATATGAAGCTTTCGTTGGAGTATTAACTCTAGTAACGATCTTTTTGGTTCGTTTGATGAACTCGAGTCCACTTGATTATCCGTTGTTTAAGTGAAGGGTTGTGTGATGTTGTTCAATTGATGAAGCATAGCATCACCATTGCCACAAGCAATGCTGGTTAACTTTATTGTGCTGACTTACATCCTGTACTGAGCTTTACCTGCGACCATTGGGAGCTTTATCCCAACTTTATATTTTCAGCATTTACGACAGTCTTAGCACCATTAACATGCCAGCCCGGATCGTTGAACTGCAAAATGGAATCAAAATATTTGGACAAAGGTAGCTATAAATAGATTTGATTGTATCGACAAACAAATCATAAAATGGATTAAATCTATTGGAAGGTCACTGATAAGTCGCATATTAGAGTCAAACAACGTGAGAAAACTACCTATGAATGCAACCACGTGTCTCAATCAAATATGATGGTCAAAAAATGGAAAGATCATCAGAATAACAAATATCTCAGAAGACACTTAGAAAGCCTTCCTCGGGAGACTTTTGATTCTGTAAGTTGTGATATCCAATGTCCAGACTCTCCCTTTTTAATCGGCATAACTCATAAGTATCTTAACTGTTGTATGGGTGAATTGCCCGTCCAGCTCAGTTGGTAGAACTCAAGGCTCTTAACTTTGTGGTCGTGGGATCGAGTCCCACGGTGGGCAATTCATAATTTTGACTGTCGGAGGTCTTCCACGGAAGCTGCTCTCAACCTGACGTTGGGGGCAACCTATTACTTTACCTCCCCTCACCCCATTACATATAGAAATAAGGTCAGCTAATTTTTTTTAACTGTTGTATGGGTTTCTTTACCCGTGATTCGATCTGAATTGGATTTAGGGAAGCTCCACCTCACTTGAAATCCGACCCAATCTTTAAGGTAAGAATTTGTTCCCGACCCGACATAAATATATATAGTTTTCATTTTTATTAGGTAGAATATACATATAGATAGAGAGATATTATAACAATAATCCATTAATATATAAAATATCAACTATATTATTATTTTGGGGTCGGATCAAGTATTTTTTAATCATAAATCCAAATCCGACATTTGATCTTATTCATTAAAAATTTACCTCGGGTTTGAATCATAATGTCTGTTCTTACTCGGGATGGACGGTACCAGGATGGAAAATGAATGGACAAGTCATGGGAAGGAGAAGAATTCACATTCGACATTTATTAACAATGTTGATAAAATACAACCAATTGAAGCACAAAATAATCACGAATTGAACTAAGACAGAGAACCAATGCAATCCCCTTTTCCAACTTAACCTTCTACACGATATAGAGAGCATGGCTCGAACAAAAACATATCCTTCTCCAAATGCACATTTGGGGCAGCAAAATTGCATGTCAAATTGATATGTCGAACAAGTCGACCACCAAGTTTTCCATCATCAGATTCGCCATTCCCGAACACTTTGTCTCCCTGCTCCCCTTTCCTGCAGTTCTCAATAAATGTTAAACATTCTACACTAAGTGAGCATCACAGATGATTGTAGCTCAATTCTATTGTGTATAACTTATTCAAACCGACACATGATCATCGCAACGCATAAGGTCTAACAATAGAAGTAGAGCGAGGAATGTACCATAAAAGGAAGAAACAGGTTTGTTGTTGGCGGTAGAATTGGGTAGCTTGAGAGGGCAAGCTGAAAGCGGAAGAACGGGTAGGTTTTGGCAGTTGCAAATCTCGACCATGTAGCCATCGGGATCATGGAAGAACAACTGGTCCACTTGGATTCCACCTTCTTCCACCACCGCCGTCACGTACTCGATCCCCATCTCTTCCAACTTCCGCACCACCTGCTTCATGTCCGAGCATTGGAACGATATATGGTTGTCTTTGGGGTTTATCTTCTCTTTCTTTGCTGGAACGCTTTCCGATTCCAGCAAATGGATGCCTATTCCATAGCTGAACAACCTAAATATTCAATTACCCATCCTTATCAACATATTTATGGTAAATTGCCAAGTTTAGTCCTTTCAAATCTAAAGATATATCGATAATATAATGGTAAAATTACAACTTGACCCCGCTTAAATAATGAAATTTAAGTTTAAGTCATTCAAATATTATACATTACAGTTAAAACAATGATAAGCATGAGTGGTGGAACCCCCATTTATTTCATTGTCCTTTCAGTTTCTTAAAGTTTTGTCCAGAAATATTAATGTATAAGTCACCCCACATAATTATTAATTAGTGTGTGGTTGGATAGGTGAACTAATGCACCCACATGGTGCAAATGCATCTGAAGACCTCCAAACTTTGATGGTCTAATTATCTCTTAAGCCACTAGTAGTTTTGAAATCATTGTTTCTCTCAAAATTTTCTGGTATAATTCCTTTTTAGGACATTGTTAATTTGAAAATTAATAAAATGAATGCTTAAATCTCAAATTTCTCTGGTTTAATTACATGTTAAGACCTTGGACTTTTAAATTAATGAAATTAAACCCATAATCTCTTAATTTGTATGGTTTAATTACTTTGTATGATTATATTTATTTTGAAGTTAACAACTTATCTCTCATAGTTCAATCTTAGCTCTGTCCCAGTACGTATAGTACACAAACTGGTGGTGAAATTTCTCTGGTTTAATTACATGTTAAGACCTTGGAATTTTAAAATAATGAAATCAAACCCATAATCTCTTAATTTTTATGGTTTAATTACTTTGTATGATTATATTTATTTTGAAGTTAACAACTTATCCCTCATAGTTCAATCTTAGCTCTGTCCCAGTACGTATAGTACACAAACTGGTGGTGAAATTTGACTTGAAAATTTCACGATTATTGTTCAGATCAGGATCGAAATTTCAAAAGTGAGACTAAAAATCGACTAAATTAGAGTATTAAAACGGCAACACAACATATGATAGGGGCTAATAGCAAAATTTGACCCGAAAACAACAGGTTAAGAAAAAATGATAGAGAAAGAAGCATTACCAAGCTCCTTCAAACTTGAAAGAGGAAGGGCGTTTGATGAGAACAAATCCCAGAACTTGCTCGTAAAACCTCACGGATCTGCTCACTGATTTGCAAACAAATGAGACATGGTTGAGAGACAACAAAGGCAGTGTGGTGTCGGAATCTGACGTTGAAGACGACAGCCATTGCATCTCTTCGATCTCTCCCACATTTCCCATTCTTACACTCTTTCTCTCAATAGCTTATCACTTGAAGCTTTGTACTTATACCATGCAATGTATTATCTTGCCAGATGAGTTCTATGATGAGCCCTTTTTAAAGGCTGAGAACTTCACTGTGTAAGAGCAAATAGGGTTAATTTTCATCGAGCATCCTCAAACCATCGTTGAAATTTTAAATTTACTCCTATATTTTAAACCATTTTAATTGAACCTTCAAATTATTAGTATTGTATCAATTAGGACCTTTCGTCAGTGTCGTATCAACCCTAAACATCAAATGGTAATTAAACCCTATTGAGTAATTTCAGTGATTAAAATAAATATTTTTTAGGAGATCCGGGTTCAATCAGTTGCATCTGTAGGGTGTGTGCACATTGTTATTGGCTAAAAAAAATCTGAACAAATACTACCTTATAATCGTCAAAGGTCATTAAATTATACTCAAATGATCAATTTGATCGTTAAAACTTGAAAACAATTATAAAATAGTCAGTTAAGTTTTATTGAATTGTTACGAAATGATCGTTACACTTACCAAACTTTTACACTTACTATAGCATTGTAGTTATCATTTTATAACATTCAATAAATTTAACGATTATTTTAAAATTTTAGATAATTTAGTGTTTAAAAGATCATTTCAACATAATTAAGTGATCATTGATGTATTTTATCCTTATTAATTGTTAAACCATTGTTTCTTGCTTTCTTATAGAAAAGCAAAGTCAAGTGTGTAATAAGAAATTACAATTAGCATAACTTGATCCACAAGAGAAGGTGAAAAATCCAGAAGATGAGATGTGAGAAAGGAGGGAACGTACGGTAAGACAAATACTACAAAGACAAGCTGTCTTGACTCAGCTTTGTGGTGCTGTTCTTATCCACACAACACCAATCCTTCTGTTGTACCATTACATCATTCCAAATTCACACACATGTTTTGCATTTCAATTATTGTTTTAATTTTTTATGGTTGCAACGCGTTCATATCGATATTTATTATAGATTTTATTAGGTCAATAATACAAATAGAAATATTACTTTATATAAAGAGAGAGTAAAAAAAAATTGTTCGATATATATATATATATATTGATAAAACAAATATTATGTTTACGTTTAGAATGTAAAAAATGAGTGAACTGAGAATTTTAGGGATCAACAGTCGATGATGATGACTGACAATATCGATTGGTGAAGATCAAAGACAACAGTGGTGATTGACGGCCAACGACGGGAGATTTTAGTTAAACTCGTGTGTCAAATTGATATTTTATCTCAAATTCAGAAGTGAAAGTTATATTTTATTTAAATTTTATAGGTTAAATAAATATTATATTTAAAAATCAGGGTCAATTTAAAAGTTAATCCCATTTACGAACATAACAAGTCATCAAACTAACCTGACCTAACGACTCAATGACTAAAATATAATAATTATAATATAATTGATTAAAATTTAATATTTGATATTTGTCACTAGAGGTGGGTATACGGGCTACCGTCCGTTTAGTTTGAGGGTTTTGACGGTGCGGGCTTAAAAAGCCCGTAATCATAAACGGTTTTGAATTTTAAGGCTCACGGCCCGTCCGTTTAACCCGCGGCCTGTTAAATAAAAATAATTTTAAATGCTTTAAATGCAATAAAAAATAATGTTCTAACATGCTACACCTTTAAAAATGATCCAGTAACTTGAAAAAGAAGGTAACACCGTCAAAATAATAAATTATATTTAAATTTTATTTTAAATAGCTAGAAATGATTATAAAATAATATTTTTTTAAATTTTTTAATCATTAATATATATAACGATATAATTACTTAAACTCAAATTTAAAAAAAATAATATTCACTTATATCACCAAATTGAAAAATAAATAAAACAATAACCACATTATATTTTATAAAACACGATTATTTAAGGCTATAATATGAAGACACAGAAGTGTTTGCAAGCAGAAATTTAAACAGAAAAATTCAACAAAATCAAATATTATACAAATCTAACAATTTTCTTTTATAAAAGCCTTTAAAAGTTGAAAGGTATGTTTTTAATTTTTTTCTTTTTCTTTTCTTTCTTATTTTTAATCCAAATATTACGTGTTATGTGATATATTATTAGAATATCACGTGATTTTTTATAATTAAAGAACGAAATGGATAACATATTTCATGAAAAAAAATAAAGGTCAAAATTAAATAAAAAAATCTTTAAATACCAAAGTGATAATGATTTAAATTTTATAAGACTAAAATACTATATAAATCTTTTAATTTTTATTTTTTAAAATAAAGAATAATTTGATACATTGTAAATGAAAAAAAAAATATCAAGCAACAATAGAATTATGACAAATGCCCTAATAGATTTAATAACTACGATGGTTATAAGTAACATCATATTTATAGGCAATTTATTTTTTTCTATAAAATTTTTTAAGTTTATTTTATCTAAAATTTTATAAATTTTAAATTAAGCAGGCTTCGCGGGCTACCCGCGGTTATACCCATTAAACATGCGGATTTAACGGTCCGGGTTAAAAAGCCCGCAATTTAAACGAGCTTCAGTTTTTGATGTCCAAAACCCGCCCGTTTAACATTATTTGTTTAAAAAGATAGTGCATAAAATATTTTTTTAGATAAAGATTAATATCAATATATTAATATTATAAAATTTAAACTTTATGAATAATATTCTTGTTTTATTCTTTCACTACATCTTATATGTTATATGTCTTTCAAAAAGTGTCTGATATAAAATATTAACGGCATTTCTAAACTTCAGAACATTTTCTCCGATGTAGAATTAATGTATATCATCTCTTTATGATATGATAATACGACGATTACATATCTTGAAAATTTTAAATCTTCATATAAGTATATATATTTTTTATAAATCTAATTTTATACTTAAATTAATATATTTTTTTGATTAAATTTAGAGTGCTTATAAAGTAGCATATATTCTAAGTACTTTCAACCATTTGATAATAAACACACAATCACATTTGCATGTAAGTTGGTTCATACCCTAAATTAATATATTTAACATAGAATTTTGTATTTGTGTCTAATTGATATACAAAAATTCGATAATTTTCCTAAAATATTTGTGTAAGCCGACAATATGTTGGGCGTTTATCCCGAAAAATCACTTTTTTCATTTAATATTCTCGATCAGTCACCGTTCAAACTATATTTCCTGATCTAACACCCTTTGCAGGAAGGCGCGCCCCCCTGCACCGCGCTTTACGCCACGTGTTCGAAGGCGCTCCCCGGGGGCGCGCCTTACCAAATGTGTAAAAAACCGAGTGCTAATTTTGTAAAAACGTCAGCATTTTGAATTGTGCAGACACCACACGGCACGATTCCAAGTTGTGAACTGGCTGGAGTCTTGTCACCAAGTTAATGAAGTGGGCAGTGTGTATAGTGGTTGAGTTTATTAGTATTTTAGTGTCACAAGTTTATTTTTTATAATAATAATTTTTTTATAATTTTAAAAAGAGAAAATAACCCCAGTGACCAAAAATCCCATATAATATACGATTTTAACAAACTTTTTCCGGATTTGCCAAAATGACCAACAAAATCGCAATGCGATCGCTAATTCGCAACGCGATCTCCATTATCGCAAATTCGCATTGCATTTTCGCAATGCGATAGTTGAAAATCGCGTTGCGATGGTCTACAGTGTCGTTGCGATTTTCCCAATTCGCAATGCGAATAAGTAAATCGCAACGCGAATTGGGAAAATCGCAATGCGATACTGACTATCGCAATGCGATAATACAAAATCGCAACGAGATACTTACTTTCGCAACGCGATACTGACTTTCGCAACGCGATTCTGACTTTCGCAACGCGATAATACATAATCGCAATGCGATTTTCAAAGCGCCATTAGTATCCTGGCCAAGTATTTTATTTTTAAATTCCAAACACGAATATTAATATATTGGAACACTGAACCGTCCACAGTATATCCGTAATCGCAACTCATAACCTAAAACCTAAATCACAACTCAGTCCCATCTCCATCTCTCACTCTCTCACCCATCTCCGACGAAATCCGTCCCCATCTCCGGCGAAATCCGTCTATCTCCATCTCTCAGAGCCACCCTCACAATCAGAAATGGAAAATCAACCAAATCAACCAACGAGGGTTATTTTTTTAATTATTTTCTTTTTGAAATTTTTGCATTATTATTAGGTTTTTCATATTGAAATTGATGATAAGTTTACTGGTAATTTCAATAATAGATTAACCATTTCACTTAGATTGCTTATTAAATCAACCGAGAATCGCAACGCGAAATGCAAATCGCAACGCGATTTTAGTTTCGCGTTGCGATTCTCTCGTTGCGATAGTCAAATTCGCGTTGCGATGGTCATTTTCGTGTTGCGATTTTCATTTTCAGAAACTATTCTTCTTCTGCAAATTGAAACTTGAATGAATTGCATTACTTCAACCAAAAAACAAAGACAAATACGAAATTCACAGTGTTGCAAATTTAAGTTTGAAGAATAAACTACTACTCTTTATGTTTATTATTGTTTTTGGTAATCTTCACAGTGTAGTTTTGGTATATCTAATTTAGTATGTTTATTGTTTTTTAGAACTTTTATTCGGCTCAATTGACCTTGAGAAATAAAGTCAGCCTGGCCAAAACAATTGCGTCGAAGCTTTCACCTGCACAAAGAAAAATGTTTGAGGATACATGCTTCGGGCCATGGCTGAAAGTACAACATCCCGGTGGAGATGCGATGTGACACACCTGTTTCTTCAAACCATGACTAGCGATCTACCAGAGACTATACAACGTCGTGATGAAGAGATATGGTTGATTTTCCACCGGCGTATACGTGTTTTGGGCGGGAGGAGTTTTGCTTAATCACCGGTCTACGCTTCGGACACGATGATGTAGGTCGGTACACTATGATGTAGGTCGGTACACTAGACACATTACCCGCCCATCATGGCTATCCCGGGTTTTTCCTGAGCTGGAGAGGCCGAGTCTACACGTAGAAGACCTGACAAGATTGTTGAATAATA